CGCGAAGGCACAGCAAGAGTGGATCGCGTAATTGGCCGGCAAAGACTGCCAACGTTGGAGGATCGGGAGTCTCTTCCATACCTGGAGTGCATATTGAAAGAGACATATCGGTGAGTTCAGATGAAGTATCCCGTACTTGTATGGTTTTCATTCTAATCAATTTCTATGCAGCTGGCTCTGTCCTGTTTGCCTAGGTGTGTGGTTATGCTACCTTCGTTTGTCAGTTATGACCAACATTGCAGGTGTACCCCATGCATCAAGCGAAGACGACGAATATCGTGGCTACTATATTCCGAAGGGAACAACAATAATGCCCAATCTATGGTCCGTCATGATAATCATTTGGTATGCTTTTGAAGATATATCGTCTACCAGGTTCATGTTGCGAGATCCGGAAGACTACCCTAATCCGGAGACGTTCCTCCCGGAACGCTTCTGGGCTCTGACCGCAGAAGAGTCTGAACGCACAGACCCTCGGAATATAGTGTTCGGACATGGTCGAAGGCAAGTGCTACGGCCTCCTATTTGATTTGGACATCAGCAGATCATCCTAGTAGAATTTGCCCGGGTCGTCGCTTTGCGGACATCAGCGTGTGGCTCGTGATGGCGAACATGGTGGCGACGTTCAATATCTCGAAGGCCCGAGACGCCCTGGGGAACGAGATAACGCCTCCTGTGTTGTACGAGCCTGGTTTCACGAGGTAGGGGTGATCCTGCTTGTGCGTTGCATCACGGCTGATACGTTGTTCAAGTGAGCCTGTGCAATTCCAGTGCTCAATCATACCGCGGTCGCAACAAGCTGCAGATTTGATAATCGGTGCCACGTGAAGCTTTGAAGGCTCGGACGGCTTCAGATTAGCACATGCCATTCGAAGGAGAGCCTGGTCAGCCGCAAAAATATGGCCATTCTACGTTGTGTCAGTGCTATAACAGATATTGGGCATTGACGGGTGGCGTTAGTAGGGTACACTCGTACAATTGCAATACATTTGATCTTCTTCCTGGCATGTCAATCCAACAAACTCGTCAGCATTTTAGAGACCATATCCTCCGCCCGCTGTGAACGAGGAGTGATGTTGCACGTGAACTCCGGTGGATAACTGGCATCCCGCTCAGTGCCAGTGATAGTCCGATAGGCAGCGTCATGCACTCACCGAGTCATACCGGAGTGAAATTCAACGGATGGCGTGATGACTTGGCCTTTGGAGTCCCGCGCCTTCGCGATGTTCAGTGTCGCTACCATACTCGCCACGACCATGAATATATTTGCATCGGCAAAATAGCGCCCCGGGCATGTCCTGTGCGCAAGTGGTCAACGTTCACCGGTAGCACGTGTGATATAGTGGATGATTCTCACCGTCTCCCAAACCCGAACACGGTGGCTCGGGGGTCGGTCCTCTCCGCTGTCTTTGCGTCCATGTTAAGGAACCGTTCGGGCCGGAATGTGGATGCGTCGGGGTCAATCTCCTCATCACGAGTCATGGCCCTGTGAGAGCGAAGTATTTAAGGAGCATCCGCTAGGATCGGGACCTCCTCACCAGATGTTACTCAGCACAGTAGAGCCTTTGGGGATAGTATGTCCTTCGTGCTCGTCGTCTTCAGTCAGGCAATGTGGGATCCCTGAAAACCGATGTCAACGTTCACCGTGTTATGCTCTGGGACATCACCAACCCAGAGGAATAGAGGCACTCCAGCTATTACGGGTAGATGAGTGACCGTACGTACATGTGGCATTAGCACTCACCGTAGCGCTTCCTTTACGATGCATTCTATATACGGGAGCTGATCCCTATCCTCTAGCTGTGGGAGCCGATCAACTCCAACCACGCGGTCGATTTCCTCCTGCGCTTTCTGAAGAACTTCAGGATAGACAACCATGGCTAAGACGAATGAAGCGAGCGCAGACTTCGTCTTGAGGTGTTCTGTCTTCAGCATCGACCTGTCTCGAAAAAACCTCGGACTCACCGTCTCCATTCCAGCTAACCGGCCAAAGACCGAGGTTACCGCATGCCTTTACTATACGAACGTGAAGACGAACCTCCATAAACGGTACCCGCAGCGGCTGTTATATCGCGTTTGTCCCTCTGTAGGGTTCCATTCCTCTGTGCTCCCTCTATGAGTTTTGCGACGAGCGACGGTTTCACTGGTGTTCTCGCCATCTGCATGAATCAGAGGAGCAGTCAACCGCTCGGGATGGTCTGCTCACAACAGCAGTCTTGACTCCTTGGTGAGGTCTGTCCATGGCGTCCCGAACAGTCTCTGTGACTTTGATTGCGTATCACGTAAATCCCGCGCCAAGCATTCACTATCAGGACAGAATGAATCGCATTAAGTTCACTCTCGACATGCTGGCTCGGATGTAGTCTCAATTCATGTGTATCAGTCTATCATAATTACCTGTACTTGCTCGATGGACACTGGGCCCTCCTCTTTCATACACACGATAACGGTCTGCCCGGTACACTGAAACTGCAATAATACACAACTCACAACGCACTGATTAGTCTACCAGACATCGTGTTGTAAGACAAGGTAGATAAGGGGCACGAAATCACAGCAGATTCCATGAAGGTGAAAAGGACGATGAGGGCGATGATAACGCCAGTGTGAATGGACAGCACATCACATCGTCTTCATACTTCATAATTCCGACAAATACTTCCAGACCCTAGCCAGCTCTCGCGAAGCCACGGGAATTATCAGCGCCACATGTCCGTCAGGACGCACTAGCGCAGCTGCACCGCTCTCAGTGCTTATGCGGAGCGACCGATAGAGACTCCCCGTCGTACGGCCATCATTTTCTGGATGCAGGACATCGTCCAAGTATATCCTGCGGTCAGATATTCGGCATCAGTCGGATGTATTGAGAGTGCGAGGGACATACTGCGAAGCGCGGAGCACCGGTTCCGATACCACACCCGCCTCTGCAAGCACCGTGCCATGGCTGACAGAGAGGATCGCTCCCAGCTGCACATCGCCATTACCAACCTCCTTGGAGCTGGCGCAGCGCTCGATGAATTCGCGGAAGCTCGCGCCAACCGCTGGCAGCGTGATATCGCCCGGGAAGATGAGAAGCTTGAAGGCCATTTGGTATGATATAGTATCAAGAAGGCTGCAGCGACTCCAGCTGTCGTAACGCAGAATTTCGGCGTGGGGCAGTCTTTGTCCCAAGACCAAGCCGCACGCAAGATCTTGGAAGTCGGGTACAGTGAGTCGCGAGTCGTATTGGACACCTATGCCTCTGCTCTGGGTGTCAGCACCCATCATATTTAGCCAAGGTGGTCATCACCACTTACGATGTGAAAGCGTTCTGTCGCTCAATCAGGCTATTGGCTGGGTGAGTCACATCAATATGAAGTGCGGAGACAGAAACAATACCTCATGTACTGCTCCGTCATATTAGAGCTGCGCATCAGCCTTTGGATCTCCTTATCGAGCTCAATCAATGTAATGCTGCAAGGCCGTCGCTCAGTTTCGTATGTTTCGAGGAGAGGGCCTCCGGCGCGCCCACGAAGGGTGTATGCGAGTTTCCAAGCTGGCCGAGACCAAGTCAACAAAGTAGAACGTGTATATTCAGACCGGATGCTTACCCAGATTATAAGCATCCGCCATCGAGACATTGAGGCCTTGACCAGCATTAGGAGAATGCACATGACCTTCAATAATGAAGCATCAGCTGCAATCTTCCTAAGCAGTAACATTCTCTTACATGCATCTCCTGCGATGAAAATCCGTTGCGCGTGCGAGAATGTTGAAGCGATGCCTTGTCTGACTGATGTGAGGGGTTTAGTTGCGCAGGCCTTTGTACCACAATGACATTAGATTACCTCTGTAAAGACTACACCATGTAATATCTTCCGCGGCTATTGTGTACGGCTGGAAGCCGCGCACGAATGTCTTGTAAACCTATATGAGCGACGTTCGGAGGAGATCGAAGCTGGTTTAGTACCGCCATCAAGATGTCCGCTAACTGCACTGCTGAGGTCTTCCCATCGTTGCCAATCGGGTCGTTCTGAAATCGCGCATATATACGCATCCTGCTATCGGGCCTGGGAACAGTCTGCGCTTGGTCAGTCATACCGCGATACTCAGAAGAATTGGCTCACTCCTAACAGTCCCGCAAGCGGCGACTGTATAATGTTCTTTGCTAGCAGAGTTGGGAAATCGGTGATCGGCTTCAGGTCCATTGCACCCCATACTTCGCCCATCGCAGCGTTCCAGTCGTTCGCCAAGGCCTCCCCACCTAAGTCTTCCATGGTGATTCCACACTGGTGACGGACCCAAGAATGGGCACCTGCACGTTCTTCAGCCTGAGCAGGTATTACTTGATCACACAATGCATGCTCACCGTCACATCCAACGACATACTTTGCGCGTATACTTTCCACCGTCTCCACACATTCGGGCAGATCTGCCAGCTCGTTTCTCGAGGTAAGTGGAAGATGGCTTGTCCGCACATGCTCCGCCTTAAGGTGTACGCATGTCACCTAACCATACTTCCGTGAGTTGATGGGGCAAGTCATCACCGCATATTCAACTTACTTCAACAACGTATTCACCAGTCGGTCTGGAATCATTGATGATACGGAATTGTTGAGGGACTACTGGTTGTTCTACTTGAACGTCTCGCTCCGACAACGATTCCCTCATGAGCCTCTCAATATCCTTTGGTTCTAGGAGAACCTGAGCGACTGTAGTAAGCGTTCCGACACCTAAAGTAGCATCAAAGCGATACCTCGAAAGGATGCCGAGCAGAAGATGTTGAGATGTTTGGACCCTGCTTAGTAGCCTGATGCCGTCCTGTGAATAGAGCACCAAGACCGTGCAGCTGGACACAAACCTTTATCCCGGATCTGTCGTCGTTCGCTTCATATGTAACCTACATTCACGATCTGTCAATGTGAGCTGTCGTCGCTGCGGAGAGATGCCGGCGGACCATGCGGTGAAGATGGAAGCCTGTCTGTCTCAGCTTCTCTCCCATCCCGACACTGTCCCACATTTCAATCGTCCGGGGCTGAATGCCATCCCCTTGACCTGCTGATTCTTCAGGTAGACTGAGTGGGTGTAAGGAACAGGCACGGAGGACAGGAGGAGAGTGACACTACCGGCGGTCTATGATTCTGTATGGTATGTTGAGGCGGCTAAGGCAGACCGCGGTCATGAGCCCCGCAGGTCCAGCACCAATCACGAGGACATCGGTATGCGAGACTTGGCTCATGGTGGACTGCGGGGGTCGGCGTCCAAAGGATGGGCACTCTTACCTCGCGGCCGCATACTTATACACTGATCTGCAAAGCTGTAAATATTATAAAATTTCAGCGTTTTTCCGCTGGCCATAATCTCGTGTGGAGAGTATGTTGGGTTTATCGTGGGCAAAGGTATTTGCTGCCATACCTTCGATATCGCTTGATCGCGCCAGGGGGAGGCACCGTGAAGTTGGTTACAGTCTCCGCATTCTGAAAGAGGACTACGGCAGGTGTCATTCGTGTGCGCTGAAAACCGCGTGTCATTCGCAGGGCGTGCCACACGTGCAAACGAACACTAACCATGAAGCGAAGAGGTAAAGCAGTTCGCTGACCCGTCCGTGGTTCTGAGGTCTCGGTACACTCCATCTGCGAGGTGTATGGTTCAGGCGGACACCATCGACTCCGAGCGCAGCATGTCAAGGTCACGCACCGTTGAACACTTACTCATGCCAGCCAGCTTCTGATACGGAGACCAAGGATCATGCACATGCTTCAAATGCATCTGAGACGCTGTCAGTTGGGTCGCGCGCATTTTCAAAATGCTCAAGAAGCGGATCCCAACAAACGCTCCGAGCCAGTGTAGTTACCTGAGTACAGCGTCACTGAATACCAAAGGCACCGTCTTGATCGGATCGTTGGGTAATATGCCCTACATTCGACACCAGATACCTGGCTGTATGTATATGTGGAAGATCCGATCAGGCCGAAGGAATGATGAATTTAACGCACTGAGGATCGGTGCTTGCGCAGACGGTCGCAGTCTCCCTCAGGGTGTGTTGGCTTTCGGAGGTTGTTTCAAGGTCTGGAATCAAGCCTTACGGCCGCTGTCGGACCCGTCAGCAGCAATTCTGCGCTATTGACTGCGAAAGCAGACATACATACTGCTGTCCCTATCTTCACCACAGAAATGGAGCACGCCGCCCGTGCGAGTCGTATCAGATGCAACGCCGCGCATTTGTCAGTGTCATTAAGCCGGCCATCTCGATTGCGCGCAGCTGTCTGGCAGACGACATCAGGAAGTCGTCATGAGCGCCTCGCCCGTACAGTCCATCGTGCGATTCTTGAACCTGAATTGTCGTGGAAGCTCGGAGCACGGCAGCAAGGTGCTCTCCTGTACTGTAAGAAGAGGCGGTGCATCAGCGGCAACATCTCGTTCGCGCGCGGCCCTGGTCGAAGAGTCCTGAAGAAGTCCTCAGAGCGTATGCAACTGTTGGAGAACCGTTTCTTGCGATGATCAACAACTTTCGAAAGGGGCGCAAGTGGGACCGCTCAGATCCGAGGGTCCAACGGAGGAGCGCCCATGCGGGTTCGGTGATCTAGCTAGCATTCATCGTGATCATCCACTCAATACCTGGGCGTGAATCAACCTACCATCGTGGAACCCTGGATTCTGCGTGTAGGCGGAGCCCAAGATGCGTAAAGCGTATCTTCGGACCGTGTAGCCCATGAGAGTCCGTACTTCGAAGCCACTGGCAGTTACAGCCCGCCGCATACACGTACACCCATCGCGAGCAGAATCGGTCACGAAGACTACTCCCCGACTGCAACGTTGCCGCCTTTATAGCTCCGTGTTCCTTCATGGAGACGCGCCGGTTAGACAAGCCAGGATCCAGGTCGAGCGGAGGAAAGGTCACCAGTGGTCGAGACTTCGCCTTGGAGTTGAGTATACTCGACGAGAGTTCCGGACATCTGGCAGAGACCAGAGGATGACGAGCCTGAGAGTGAACATCTGACAAGAAGCGAGTCTAGTAAACAGTCTACCATCTACTGGTGGGCGCCTGATCGGGGCGCTCGTTGAGGAGGCGGCAAGGCCCGGTCGTTACTATATACGGCAGCAGGCGGCCTTCCGGACGGATTGGAGGTCCAGGACACCTAACTTACCGCTCCTACTCGGCACTCAGTCTGATCGACACGACAATACCATTCGCGAAGGCGCTCATTGGAGCGTCGCGGCAGCCTGTGGCCTTGAAAGTTCATCCCGAAGTATGGGTGCATCCTCCAGACTCGCATGACAGGCAGGGCATCTCGCATGCGCAGTTCTATTCACAACGAGGACAGCCGTGTGATATTTTTCGTTACACACTGGCACTCGCTTCACGGGATGCGCCGACTTTGATCATACTCGGACTGCTGGCAGATGCGAACAACAGACTGTGAACTTTGAAGCACCTCGGAGTACGAAGCCAGCGTTAACTCTCAGCTATATTGCACTGACCGCCGCATCGTATTGAATGCGTCTATGGTCAAAGCACCAAATTAGTAGGCATAGGCAGTTGTTGTTCCATATACTTATCATCCAATCGACCCTGCTTGACGTGTGAAGGCGACGTCGTTTTTGTTTGTTTGGGTAGGAGGTACTCAGCTCCATCCGGCCGGACGAAACTATGATGGGATTGTCAAAAACTTCGCTACATATGGTACAAAACTAAGGGTATTGGGTGTGGACGGCGGGTGAGAACGCGCGGCGCCCGGAACCTCTGACGAGTGAGAGGGAGAGAGCGTAGGGTAGCACCCCTGTATGCTGCTCTGAAGCCCCTCGCAGCTCGCCAGGCAAGTGCACGTGACTGGCGCGACGACCTGAGTATCGCTGCTCTCGCGCGCGGCGCGAGAACAGGTTTCGCTATGAACTACAGCGGAGAGTCATAGGTTTCGCTACGACGTCGTAATAGGACGTCGTAGGTTTCGCTACACTGCGGTGTAGGATAATGGAGCCCTCGGACGACGGGCAGGTGTGAGGGCTCCGTGCGCGTACTGCCGACTCGCCGTCGATTGAACTTGCACAATCAAAATATTGACCTCGCTTAATAGTATGTGCACGTGCGCTCTGAGGTCTGAGATCTGGATCTGAGGCCTGAGGCCGAGGATTGACTGGAACATTGCATGGTACATAAGCGTGTACTACGTACAGTCCCGGACAAGCAAAGGCGACAATTTTTCTGTTCGACTTATCTGGGCCTCGGTAAGTGCCTGATCGTGAAAGTAACTGTAGAAGTGGTGTTTCTGATGCGTAATGATCGCAATTGCACGAGCCAATTGCCCCCAAAAGCAATATTTCCATTTTGGGTCCCAAAATTTTGGCGCACCCCAAAACAATTCGTAAAAGTCACGGGAAAATTACCATTGTGCTCCGTCTGATGAGCTGTGTATGATTCCGTCGAGAGCAGAAACCCCCCCCCATTACATTTGGACTCATAAATTGAGTAAGAAGTTTGGCGCTAGGCCATCCGGCGCCCCACAAACAGACTCGGAGAATCGGTTCGGTATGATGAGTCACTATCGAACATTGACAAAAGTAATACTTAGTACAGAAGGAGTACTATTGGGATTATGGACCAGGGATACATGTTGGAGTCCGATTTAGTGTCACTGACATACTTATACAACTGGAAGGATGGGGAATTAGCGGAGGTTTTACACCCATGCTCGAGCTTGAGTAAGATAGGCCTCACTCATAATCCGTATCTTGGGCTAGGCGCACGTGATCTGGCATACCAAATCGGGAAATAATGTGGCTCGACGCTGCGCGGGTGGTGTTGGACAGTACATGCGATGAATGAGTAGCTTGTCGAAGTAGTGGAATGTAGTGTAGTTTATTGTATATACTCAATGATCTCAGTCTGGGTCCATCTGGTCCAACTCGGTGAAGATCGAGTCGGGAACAACCCGGTGTCCATGGTATTTCTTCCCCGCATATGCGGCCTGCTTGCCATTAAGCCCCTTGCGATATGCGTCCATGAAACGGAACGAACGTGTGCAGAAACTATCAGTGAGTGTCAGGTTTAGGTATCCAATAGCTGCATGGACACATACCGATGAATAGAGAGGAGAGGCACATGCTCGAGTGCATCCCTGACATCCGGCTCGAGATCAGCCTCTTTCAATGATGGAGGGCAGCGGCGATAGGTCCGCTTTGCGTGGCCCCAGCATTGCTCAATCGGGTTGAGCTCTGGGTGAAACTTCGGAAGAAACAACACATCGAAGCCACGCGCATGACATGCTTCCTCCACCAAGGACTCGACATCAGCAAAGTGTTGAACCATATAGGCGCCCACCGGGCCGTCGGGTTCCACGGGCCGGATCGCACTGCACGTGCTAGATCCGCACTTACCGCATAGAGCAAGTCATGCGTGGGAATAGACTATACAGTAGTATTAGTCAGCGTCTCAGAGATGTATATAAGGCCCACCAGTAGCGTAGCTCTCTCTTTAGTTCCTTCACCACGAAGTAACTTGTGTGCCTCAAGTATCCAACCTTCAAGCAGGTAAGTTAGAGCGCGGTCCACTACGTGTGACCAAGTCTGCTCAACAGGTTATGAGCCCCGGTCGACGCCTGAGTACTGCGCCTTAACGGCTGCGACTCGGTGCGCACTGGCTTACCTGCGGCATCGCCCTCACGGGCTTGAAGCCAGGGGGAGACTATGCGCGGAAACGCTGCAGGTCTCAAGCGCGACTCACGTCGCTGCTAAACCCCATGAGGACACTGAGTCCATGTGTGTGGACAGCGCCTTTTGGCTGCAGTCCGTTGTGTGACAGAGCGCTGACGTCGCCTTCGTCAAGCAGCAGCTCTTCAACGTTTCCCCCGTTCACACCAACTCTCACACAATGTCCAACGCTCTCCTCAACATGGTTCCCGTTCTCGACGGCTCCAACTACGCCAAATGGTCGGAAGCCATGAAGTCCTACCTCCAGAGCCAGGAAGTCTGGTTCATGATCGGACAGACTCTCGGTGAGCGCCCGACGCTCGAGGAGGGCGGCAGGAACCGTCAGGAGGTCTTTGCGTGGACCCAGGCGGACGAGAAGGCGCAAGGCATGATACGCCTGCGCCTCAGTCCCTCGGTCGTTCAGATCGTCAAAGACAACGACTCGGCGAAGGATCTCTGGGATATGCTGTCAACGATGTACAGCAAGCAGAACGCTGCCAACCTCTACGCGTCCTTCAGGACTGCGACGACAGTGCGCGTTCCTGCTGACCAGCACCCCGCTCCTTTCCTCGCCAAGATCATCGACGCTTGCGAGAAGCTCGAGGACAACGATCTCAAGCTCCCCGACGCGCTTCTGGCCATGATGGCCCTGAATGCTTTACCATCGCGGTACGACAACGTCGTGCAGGTCATGTTGCAAACAACGGATGTCAAGAAGCTCAAGATCTCGGATGTCCGGCACGCCGCCAACCTTGCCTTTGAGCAAGGCTCGGGCAAGAAGGCGTCTTCTTCGCACGACGCGAAGAAGATCTCGGCCGTCAAGCGAAAGCAAGGCGAGCCGAGCTTCCAGCAGCAGCAGCAGCGCCATGACGGCGGCAGCGGCAGCGGCGAGAAGGCCGACAAGGGCAAGGGCAAGCAGCGCGGTAAACGCAGCGGCAAGAAGACCCGTGCCCAGAAGGACGGCGGCGGCCACAGCAACGGCCACGACCACGCCCACATCGCCTCGCAGGCGTCTGTGGCTGGTCCCTCTACGTCCCACGTCGTGGACATCGCGCCTTCGGGCAGCAAAGTCCGCACCGTCGAAACGCGTGCGCCTGTGCAGAAGCGCCCCATGCGCAACTGCCAGCAATGGCTGCAACGCGCCCTCGAGTTGGCCGACAAAGTCGACGTGTCTCCTACGGTCGAGCGTCTCAAAACGCTCACTCAGGTTGTCGACAACTCCGCACAGATCGAGGACTACCTCTCTGATACGGAGTCGCGTGCATCCAAGCGCGCTCGTCTCTCTGACGACGACGACGACATGGCCGAGAGGATCGATGAGGTAAACACGGGTTATAACTCGTACGACGACGGCACCTGGGCTGAAACCCAGGAACCCCTTAACTGGGGGTCGGACGACGAGGACGTCGGCGAGAACGTCGACGAGGACATCGCGATGGCCGCCGGTCTTGACCTGGACGAGGACGCTAGGTTAGCAACCTCATCTTCTATTCCCATGCGACCTACTAACAATGCGCTACACACAGCCGCATGTAGTAGAGTATCATCTAAGTCGCGTGTAATGAATGAATGTATCGGTAGTTCATTACACAAATATATACACTGTCGTCACGCACGAGAATTTGCTGCATGCTCCAAGTGTAAGGGAAAATGTAAGATTGAGGATGTCCTAGAGGGTGGCAATGAAGCCTACCCTGACGGAGACCCAACTTGGATGTTGGACTCTGGTGCTTCAATGCACTTTACCAACCGGATGAGTGACTTCGCTGAAGTTGAGGATCTCAGCGAACCCATCCTGGTGCAGACTGCGAATGGCACGGCCCGCTGCACAAAGCGCGGGACCGTCTTCATCAATTTCCTAGGTGGAGACGGTGAGATGATAACAACTCGTCTACATCCCGTCTATTATTTCCAAGGTCTGCATCAACGGTTGTTGTCCATGGGGACTTTCCTCAAAGAAGGCATGACTGTGCGCGGTGGTTCGCAGCACATCGACCTCTATGAGCCAGGATCGCGGGAACCACTATATGTGTTCAAACCGCTGAACCCAGGTGGCTCTATCTTTGGGATTTATGCTGCGTCTTCTGGGGAAGATGCGCAAAGTATCCACAATACGGTCTACACAGTAGACTATGAAATTATGCACCGCCGTTTTGGGCATCCCTCAAAGGATGTTCTTCGGAAGGCTGAAAAACACACCGATGGTTTCCCTCTCAGGGTTGAGTTCCCTACGGAGGATCCTGTGTGCCCAGGATGTGCAGAAGGGAAAATGCCCAACAAGGCTTTCCCGCCATCCACAAAGCGAGCGACAGAGCCTTTCGAGCTCATTCACAGTGATGTGAAGTCGTTCCCGCTTGACTCCTACCATAAGTACAGGTACTACATACTGTACTATGACGACTACACGTCCCACGCCTGGACCGTGAATCTGCGCACCAAAAGTGCTGCGATCTCGTCTACGCGTCAATTTCTCGCCACGGTTAAAACCCAATATGGCAAGAAAGTTAAAGGATGGATGTCGGATGCTGGGGGAGAATACAAGTCTGATGCGTTTGACAAGATGCTGAAAGACGAGGGCATCAAGATCTTGCAAAGCTCGCCGCACACTCCTCAGGAGAATGGCAGAGCTGAGCGACTCAACAGGACGATAATGGACAAAGCTCAGGCTATGCGCCTTGAAGCGTGTCTACCTGAATCCTGGTGGGAATTTGCGGTAAACCACGCTGTCCATGTGTACAACAGGACACCATCTCGTCGCCTCAAATGGCTGACACCCTATGAGATGTTGAACGGCGAGGCTCCCGCCATTAGGCACCTACGAGTATTTGGGTGCGGCGCATACGTCTTTATCCCCAAGGACGTGCGCAAGAACACTCTGTCTAGAAAGTCAGAGTTAATGACATACCTCGGTGTCGCCCCCGGAGGTCACGGTGACTTGTTCATGCGTGCACCAAATAATGTGCTCTACATGTCGTCACATGCGTTGTTCGACGAGAGTATGTTCCCAAAATGCCCCAGCATGAAGCGGCGGGGTAATACTAGGCTGCAAAGCGCGCCAAAACATGACCACAAAGCGGGTCACCAACCCACTTCTCAGGAGGATTCAGACGATGAGGACATCTCTCGTCCCTACCACCTTCCAAAGGGAACGGACGATGAGCGTGACGATGCTCAGGAGCAGCCAAAGGCGCCCAGTCCAGTTCCGCCGCCACAACCTTCGGGAATTCCTGCGCCTCAAGGGCAGCGGAAATCAGGTCGTCAGCGGAAGCATGTAACTCGCCCAGGGAACGTCTACGGAGAAAATCGCAATCCCGTAGACCAGTACAAAGAGATTGAAAAGAAGGGGCAGTGGAAAAAGATTGTCGGAGAAGGGTCGGGTAGCACCCGCCCTAACCCTCAATCAGGGTCGCAGCAACAGGTTCCCGGACCTAGCGCACCAGAACCACAGCCAGACCAACCTTCTGGATCTGCCTCGGGCTCAGACGAAGAAGTCGAGGAGTTACTCATGGCACGACTATGCCGGGAAGGGGGAGTAGGAATGGTCAACATGCTGCTTTCATGCGCAATACCATCTGTTGAACATGATTCTCCAGCGTCCAATCCACGTGAATGGACATACCGCGATATTCTCAAGCTACCCAAAGAGGAGCAAGAGAAGTGGAGACTAGCATGTCGCGAGGAGTTAGAGGCCCTACGCAAGCGCAACGTCTATGAGTTGGTAGACCGTCCTAAGGGACGTAGGGTTACCAAAAACCGCTGGGTCTTCGACGTCAAAACTGACGGTCATAAAAAGGCTAGACTAGTCGCAAAAGGCTACTCCCAGATTGAAGGCCTTGACTATGATCAGGTCTTCTCTCCCGTCGTACGCTTTGAGACCGTGCGCCTAATACTCGCGCTAGCTGCGCTCGAGGGCATGCACATCTCCGGACTCGATGTCCGTAATGCGTACCTCTATGGTAAACTCGACGAGGAGATTTACATGGAGCAGCCTGACGGCTTTAAAGTCCCAGGCCAAGAGCACAGAGTCCTCCGGCTACTGCGTGCTCTCTATGGACTTAAACAGGCAGGGCTTGCGTGGTGGCGCACCCTCAATGAGTCCCTCAAGGAACTTGGCTGTGTACGCCTTGTATCCGATGCCGGAATCTTCATCTACAAGACAAAAGATGGGAGGTTCGTCCTCATCATCGTCTATGTGGATGATGCCCTTTTCTGCGGAAAAGACAAGGCCCTAGTGGCCGCTCTTAAGAACCGCTTCATGAAGAAGTGGGAGTGTCGCGATCTTGGCGACGTCAAGGAGTTCCTGCGAATGAGCATTACTCGGACAGGCGACGAGATTCATCTCGACCAAACTGCCTACCTTGAGAAGGTGCTTGAGCGCTGTGGCATGCAGAATGCTAAATCTGCGCCTACTCCACTCCCTGCGGGCTACAAACCTGAGCCTTACACCGGCACGGTTGACCCTGCACTTCGAAGTCGGTATCAGACTGTCATTGGCTCCTTGCTATATATCATGCTTGGAACTCGCCCTGACATCTGTTTCGCCGTGACAAAACTCGCGCAACATGCTGCGAACCCGTCACACTGGCAGGACCACTTGGATAAAGCGCTGTATATCTGCCGCTATCTAATTGGAACCAAGTCCTATGCGCTTGTATACAGCGGCAAAACTGGACAAGGTGTTTCGGCGTGCACAGACTCCGACTGGGCTAACGACCCAGAAATGCGGAGGTCTCAGAGTGGCTACTTTATGAAGTTAGCTGGTGGAGTGTTCAGTTGGCTGTCTCGACGGCAAAAGACGGTAGCACTGTCTTCAACTGAGGCTGAATACATGTCGCTCAGCGACTGCAGCCGCCAAGTCGTATGGATTAAGATGCTCCTCACGGAGATTGGATATCCACTTGGCCCACTACCTATCTGCTCGGATAATCAGGGAGCGATATTCATCGGCTCCAACCCTGTAACTGAGAGGCGGTCGAAACACATCGACATACGCTATCATTATATCAGGGAGCTAATTGAAGAACGACAGGTCGAAGTCTTCTTCATTGGCACTGACGATAATCCGGCAGACCTCTTCACCAAGAACTTGGGCCGTGTCAAGTTCCAAAAGTTCAGAGGCATGCTCGGACTTCGATTCTACGATGAAGAGTCCTAGAGTAACCACGGACGGCAGCCCATGGCGCCAGGATATGCTTCGTATGTCAGGGACGTACTTAGCAAGGGGGAGTGTTGAACCATATAGGCACCCACCGGGCCGCCGGGTTCCACGGGCCGGATCGCACTGCACGTGCTAGATCCGCACTTACCGCATAGAGCAAGTCATGCATGGGAATAGACTATACAGTAGTATTAGTCAGCGTCTCAGAGATGTATATAAGGCCCACCAGTAGCGTAGCTCTCTCTTTAGTTCCTTCACCACGAAGTAACTTGTGTGCCTCAAGTATCCAACCTTCAAGCAGGTAAGTTAGAGCGCGGTCCACTACGTGTGACCAAGTCTGCTCAACACAAAGTCTTTCTCGGAGAACAACATCCGGCGACAGCAGCAATCACTGTGCCCCTTCGTGCACTTGAAGCCCTCACACTGGGCCTTGAGCTTCCGGATCGAAGCTTCCTTGCCTGGATAGCGCTCGATAAGAATCTGGGCCATGCCCTTGAACTTCCCTGCGAGATCGGGGTGCTGAGGATAGACGTCGGGATAGTATAGGCTCTGCGATGTCCCATCTTGGAACATCACGTCACTCATCTTCATGCACTGCTTCAGCGGCTTTCCGTTCGGGCCATATACAAGGTTGCCGTTTTGATCATTGACCTTGACATCGACACCGAACCTCTCGTTGCCCGCTCGTGCAGGGCTCGGGCCCTTGGGCATCCTCCGTGCCGAGATCGCATCGTCTGCTCGCTTGAGATGTGTCGAGGCATTGTCCAGGACGAAGAGGTGGTCTTCATCAGGATACAGCTTCCGAGCGAGATCCATCGCCTTGCCTAACTGCTCCGTGATCTCCTTGCTTGTGAAATACCCATCTCGTTCCTTCCCTGCTCGAAAGTAGACATGCGCAGAATTGGCTGCGTCATCTGAGCCGAGAAACCCATGGTCTGCAGACACGAAGTCCACGACCATCAATGAGACACCCTCTCCCTTGGGCTGCGGAGTTGCCTTCTCGTCCTTGTGGACCCAATAGGTATGTCGGCGATCGTGGAACCATATGACAAGGTGCCGATGCATAGGACGTGGACCTGCATACGGGATCTCGGTCCCATCATCATTACACACCCGAAGGCAATCATCAATGTCCGAAAGCGCGGGGAGGAAGACATCTTTCCGGTAAGTGACAACATCCTCGCGTTCATGGCCATCGATATATTGACCCTTTGGTCCGACCCCCCAGCGGTAATCCATCCGATCCATCCATCGTTGCGCAGTTGCCACCGACGGAGCCCAGCCATCGAGGTCGTACTTGTCCTGGATCTCAGGTGACTGGAAGAAATGGACAATGTCCATTGCTTTCCGATGTTTTCCGACCCCCTGGAGGTGCAGGTGAGTTTCAGCTGCCAGTTCATCGTCATCCATGATTGACACATTCCATGTGCCATACGAGTTGTACGGCAGGTCTGTGCGATCGGTGATGAATGCACGGCAGTATCCCCGAATCGTCTCCGCTGTCGTGCGACCCTGATCAAATGCGTGTGCTGCATCAAGGGATGCTTTCTGCCAGGTATGTCGGTCGATATCGCGGGTGTAATGCCACAACATGTTCTTCATCATCTCGAGCCTTCTCCGCAGCAAATCATCGCCCGAGAATGCTTTGTGGCCTTTCCCACTCGCACGCCATGGCCGAAGTAAGTTGCTGATATCCTCTAGGGCTGCTTTGGCGTCGTGGATGCTCGGAGCAGGGACATATGGGTGACTCGGGTGAGAGGTCTTTGCTTCCGAGTCATTGCTCACTGGTTGACTAGCACTGGCAGCTTCTTCGTCTTCCGGGACATCCTCATCAGGAAAACCCTCTTTCCGTAATTCGTGGTAATGTTCTAAAATTGTCGATAATACACGGAACACGGCAGAACACTCAATAATACTTTGCCATTATGAATCCAATGCATCACACCTCTCGTATTCGCGAGTATTATTCCGAAGTCAGTACTTGTTTCTCGCATGTGCAATAATTTGCATATATTCGTATCACTGGGTACATATTGTCTATAAAATCGTGGACTGCATAGTATTAAGCCCAAGGGTCTAGACTACATCATTACAAGTTAGTACTACAGGAGTCATTCATCTGTGGCCAAGCACAGGTATACCTATGCGTATCCTAGGCTCGACCCGTGCACATACCCACCCGGGTACAAATCCACCACAGCAGATACAAGGTCCACATAGGCAATTGAGACGGCGAGCGAGCGGGACAGCAGGCAGGCAGAATGGCGGGTAAGCGGAATGGTGGGTAAGCAAGACGGCGAGGGAAATAACAGGTGAGAGGAAGACAAGTGTGAGGGACGATGGGTATAACGAGATGGTGGGCGAGCAGGACAGCGGCGAGGGGAGCGACAGGGAGTTTGACAACAGATGAGGGGGGCGGCGAGCGCGGGAAACGGCGGGCGAGTGGAATAGCGGATGGGCGAGCTGGACAGAGGGCGAAGGCGAGAACGGGTGACCGAGTCAGCACGCGAGCGAGCGAATTAGCAGACAAACCAGTAAGATGACGTCGTGGCGTGCCCTTCCTCAGCAAGCCTACACGCGCTGATGCTCGGCGGGCTTTTGCACGCCGCACTGAGTGCCTGGCAGGCTGTTGCTCATCGCGGTCCTGCTCGATGGGCTGTGTTGTATCAGGCTTGGGCACATCGTACTGGTGTGCAGCGAGCTGGCCGATGTCGTATCAGTGCGCGCCGTATCCGTATGCACTTGTGCTCGTTGGGCAAACGTGCGCCGGGGCCGTCTCTGTTGTGTTCGACTCCATCCACTTGTCCTTGATGGGCATTCTCGGAGTCGAGGTAAACAGCGGTGTACTCACCTGACTCGCTGGCCCTGCTGGCCGCAACCCGCATTCCTCGCTGCACGTCAGCCCTTCGCGAGCGTCCAGCGACGCTCTTGGCGTGTCGCTGGGGCTCGTTACGGTCGCGTACAGCGCGATCTAGAGCCGCGTGGTGGTCCGATGCACACGCCGTCTCTTGCAGACGGGTCCACAGGTCCGTACTGGAGGTCGGCGGTGGGCAACCTGAAGTGAGAGCGAAGCAGACAGGGAGGAGCGGGCTGACTGTGAAGGCGGACTGTGAGACTGGAGAGTCAAAGTCCAGCGAGCGCGCGTGACGTGTCGTGGCTGAGGCGCTTAGCACTTCTCGCGACTTGCCCGCAACCTCCACGTCCGCATCGACTCAACTTCAACGCTGCGCTCAACGTCAACGATGCGCAGTAGCGTTAAGCCACACACGAAACACGACGGAGAAGCAATGGCAACACGGTGTTGGGGGAGGCGGGCCCTGGCAGGGTTAGTACAGGTGAGTCGTTCGCCCACTTGCGCACACGAGCATATGCTCGCCCGCCCTTCTCGCCCGCACAAGTCGCCTCCCCCCGTCTGTCCTTCTTCCCATCGACCCGGCCGTCATCCCCGAAGAAGCTCTCGCTGGCCAGGCCGTCTAAGGTGCCATCGAGGAGGCATGAGAAGGCCCGTGCGCGGCTCCTCGGACCCATCCCGCTCAGTGGACGCATGACGCGTTCAGCTGCGTTCCGCCCGTCTTCTCGCCCGCCTGTCTTCTCACTAGCTCGCTCGCCCACCTGCTCTTGTCTGTTTGCCATCGTCTTCGCCGTCTTGCTCACCGGCACACTCACTCTCCTGCCAGCTCACTCGCTAGTTCACCCGCCTGCTCGCCTGCCCACTCTCGCCCGTCTACCCGCTCTTGTCTACCCGCCCGCCCGCTCGCCTGCCCGTCCACCTGCCAGCGCGCCCTGAGACCCTCTCGCCCACTGCGTCGCATCCCGCCGACGTCATCTGCAAGTGCTCTGCTACGAGATGGACGCATCTCCCGCATACCTCTCCCGCCTGCCGCCAATCAGTATTCCCATTGCTGCAGCCTGCAGTTTGAGTCCTACACCGACCTAATCGAATCAGGTACGCGTCGCACAGTTAAGAGTGCTCACCCAGTGTCCGGACAGTGGGTCACGTACCTCCCCCTCGGCGTGGCAACCCTCATTGACACGATCATCGCGCTCTCGCTGTCTCCGTTGGTGTGTTGCAACAGCATAGACTCAACCATCACTGTGTTGATGCTCTACACGCAGAACACGGGCGTGATCACGAGGTACAGCACCCCTCCTTTGACAATCCGGAGTGTCCTGCTGAACGTCGAACCCCTGCACAGTCTATGCTCGCTGACAGCGATCATTGCGGTGCGTTATCTCTAAACACGTATGTACCCACCTCTGACTCCGCCTTCTACCGCAGATGACCACGCTGCCTACGACGTTCGCGGCCATCAGCGTCGAGTTCATGCTCACTAAGCGTGCGTCCGCCTTCCCTCCCAAAACTATCCCAACCCTAATCCTCCCCACAGTCTACATCAACTCCTTCCTTGCGATGTAAGTCTCCCCCTCCCTGATGTGCTCATGACCACTAACTCCGCGTCCCCAGGTTCAACGTGCGGAACAAGCTCCGCATCCGAAGCTCCATCGTTGACACGAAAGACGCCCTCGGCCGCCCATACCCACTCGCCTCCGAGTCCACGCTACCACCTGCCGCTCTCCTACCCAGTCGTACGGGTCAAGCTCGGGAGTTCCACGCAGACAAGGTTCGCAAGGTTGAATAGATCAGGTGTTGGCTGAAGCACTGAGTGCTACATGATGCATAGGTGTTGATGACGAGTAGTGGACAAGTAATATATGTATATGTTAGACGTAGTACTTGCCTACGAGTTGTACCCACTGTAATGTCTTGGATTGCCGACAAATGATACATATAATGTTTCCTCATACCTATTTCTGTGTGCAGACTGTGTTATGAACTCCAAGAATAAAAGGAATGATCCATATAATGATGGGGAAGTGTGGCTGTATTCGGCATGAATATCGTGTTATTCGCAAGTCGACCTCCGGACCATAGCGAATAAAGCACTACTGCAGCGAACGTACGAATGGCTACAATTACTCGTTCTTCGCCGTAATAATACGATATTCATTGTTATTCTTCAAGGAGGGTTTTCCTGATGCTCAACCTCGACAGCATGGTTCTCACACATACCATCACCTGCAGACCCCTCTCCATCACTGCCTACACCCATGTCAATGTTGTGGGCCTCGGACACACGTTCCTCGGATGGTTCGGGTGAATCTGTGGCTTTCGAACCACTCGCCACCTCAGATTCGCCCCACATCAGGAAAAACACTTTAGTTGTCCAACTGATTGGCAGGTTTCCAAACCTGCCCCAACCTGGTCGAACAGGTTGCAGAGCAGTTGGAGGGCACTTTGAAAGCGTTACAGTCGCTCTCAGTCGCTCTTTTCCGTTGATGTCTACTCGTCAACCAGTGCACTTACTTTGAATCCAGTTATGAGAGCACTTTAATCCGAGGCAATCAATTCCATGTTATGACCATGATAATATACTATTGCAGGTCATGGATGTCACACCACGGATGCAACAAGGAGACAGGATGATATTAGCAGCCTGTACACGAGCTCTATTTAGTATACAAGTATACAACTCAGACAGGGGCCACTGGCATGAGAGGGGCTGGCAGAAACAACGTATTTGTATGTGGCTAATTGTCCTCGGTCGGCAAGCAGGTGAACGAGCGAGTCAATGAATAGGTAGGTAAACGAATGGGTGGTACAGTGGGAGGGCGAGCGAACGAACGAGCATCACGCCAGCGTGAGCAGGGGAAGGCGATGCTAGGATGCGGGAAAGTGATGCACCCACGATCGTGTATGTTCTTGCCACGGCTGGTACGGCCTGCAAGATACACGTACATCTCGGCACTCAATGGGATCCGGAGTGACATGACGCACGTGAGGGTAGTCGACACCGCGCGCAGACACGTCCGAGGTGACGAGGACCGTGGACGTGCTTGCGACCTCACGAAATGATGCAGCGGCCTTGTCGTGTTGCGCCTGACTCGGCTTCGAATGGAAATCGACGACCTTGATCGTTATCCGGCCTTCGAGCCTTGTGACTACTGGTTGTGTGCGAGGAGACGGACGAGATGAGGGAACTGATGTAGTCGGTCCGCGCGCAGAGCTCGACAGGTGGAGAGCGTGGTGACATAGTCGAACGGCCGGTGGAAGTAGATATCAGAGGCGCGGAGGCAGACGTCGTCGAGCGTGTGTGAATGTCGGTGACATCGAGGTCCAGGGGCGCGAGCGCACGTCTGGCATGTCGAGGATGCAGACGTTGTCGAGGGTGATGTCGGGGAGGTGCGAGTAGACGTCCTTGCAAATCTCCCAGAGCAGCTCAGCCAATATCGGGCCCATGCCCACGCCTGATCGACTCTCATATCTCCCTTTGTCTTCAAGTTGAGCAACTCCAGAGATATGGAGGACTCGAATTGGGACAGGCACGCTTCGCGCTCGGTAGAATAGGAGAGGATGTGGTGGTGCAGCGAAGCGAGAGAGGTGCGGGAGGTCGAGAGCTTCTAAAGAGGGGCCAAGGATTGGCAGAGGGTGATCGTCCGGCAAGCACGGGGAGCACCTCGGTAGCAGGGCTGGAAGTGAGCCACGAGGCAGCTGTCGAGATGTCCCAGCAGGGCGCGTGGGCACGACCTTTTCAGCAGCTCGAGGCAGAAGCGGGCGAGCAAATGAACGGACGGGTGAGCGGGCGGACTGACGGACTAGCTGAAAGATGGAAGGACGGACGAGCGAGTGGGCGGACAGGAAAGTGGGCGGAGGAACGAGTGCGTGGATGAGCGAGTGGACATACTAGTGAGCGGGGACGGGCGGCCGGACAGACGAGTGGGTGGATGGGCAAGTGAGCGGGCAGACGGATAGACGAGCGGGTCGTGCACTGAAAACAGAGGAAGATGGTCTCCCGTAAGCAGACCCTAAACACAACACTTGTTGCGTGGGTGAGGGCGATTGAAGATATGATACATCGAGGGGCGCACCTTTGGTGTCCGAGCCTTCGCACTCGCTCTGCTTTCCTTACTCCGGGCTCGCCCTCTCCGTCCAATTACCCTCTACCTTCTCATTCCGCGTTCGTGTTTGAGGACCAAGGGACGGCGCGGATGCCAGTGCCTCGTAGGTGGTCTTGATGGGAGTAGCGGCAGTGAACGAGTCGTAAGGAGCGGGTCCCGCTCTGGAAGGGGCTACAGATACAGTGGGCCGGTGAGTGCGCGAGAAGGGGAGCGGGCAAATATATAGGTAAGTGGGCGGATGGATGAGGAGACATTGGAATGAGCAGAGGGGTGGGTGGCTGAGCCGCTGCAGACGAGCGGACGAGCGGACGAACGGACGCGAGAGTCAAAACACAGTAGAGTTGGCAAATAAGTCGATGAGTGCACAATCGGGATAGCATCCAAACAGGCGGAAAGACGGTTGAACGAGCGAGTGAGCGAGAAAGTAGACAGACAGTCGAGACGTGCGAGGAGGGCCAAGGCAAGTTACTAGGCGAGTGGCAGACAAGTCCTCGTTCAAAAACGTGACTTATAATGTACATATGCACTGGCAGGCGTATCTCTACCGTACCACAAGCCCGTGGCGCTGCCCTTCTCCGATATCCAACTGCACATCAAGACACGCGCATTGGGTCTTGCTGTCTTGCTGCGATATCCTCGGGCTTGGGCGAATTATACAGCGTAGGGACGCGACGTCGGTCCATACAATCTTGTCGAATGGGATGGGGTACCAGCGCCGAGCATAACGAGCTCAGCATATGTCTCTCTGTCGATAAACTGGTATTGTAGAAGTAGCGTGAGCTTGGCTATAGAGTGGAATGATTTGACATACTGCCTGGATCCATGTCTCCCATCTTAGCCACCTACATACGTCGGGTGGCACTTCGAGCGGGTCCTGTTCTCTCCCTCCAGTTCCTCGTCCATTCACTCACCCTCCTCAGTCTCGGCATGCTCAACGCTGTTCTTGTTCGTCCAAGGAACGTCACTCGTAGTCGACTGTGCGCTAGCCTCGGCGGTGTAATGCTCCACGAACGTCTCCTCGCCAACCGTCTGCTCGTTTCGCGCGGCCTCGTGCGCTCCACGCGAGCGAGAAGGCTCGTTCGACGGACAGGTCGGGCAACGGGTGGAGGTGCGCAGAAGATCAGTGCTTGGTCACGCCCGCCAGAGCCCGGCCGTGCATAGCAGGGGGAGGCGGCAAGCTCACTGGGCTCGAGCGCATGCTCATCCCGGATGCTCGCATACCTGCCCATCCAAGGCCCTGCGCGCTGTCCATCAGAGGCAGCACGCGGAGTTAAGGAGCAGCCTCGGCAGGACAGGAGGTACGAACCTCCAAGTAGGGGGCGTAATACCCTGGGTCCGTGGAATTTTCCCTTGGTCACGGTGGCCCTCCGTAACCTACAGCCCTGGAACTGTCCGCAAGTTTCGGGCGTGCGAGCGTGGCCCGCTATTGAGGAGATGGACGCCACCGAGAGGTGCTTGTGCTGGTTGGTAATCCGAGTGAGCGAGCAGACGGGTGGCTGGCGAACAAGCGGACGCGCAAGTCACTGGCAACCGAACGGTGCAGTGGATCGGTAGGCGGCGAGTGCACAATCAGGCTGGTGTGCAATGGACGGGAAGAAGGGCATGAATGAGGGGTGGGCGTCGGACGAGCCAGTGGACAACGACGTGGTCGAGATGTCATGCGAGGTGGGCAAGGCTCCGTCACGGTGGCGGTCAGAACTCTGAATGCTGCGTGAATGTGACTGGAGTGATCCCTGGAATGGCTATGGTGAGACTCCGCGCAAAGAACGAGATCCGGCGATCCGCCTAGTAGAACTGTGAAGGCCCTTGTCGCACTGTGAGATGAAGAGCGGTGGGCACGAAGGCTATGGCGGAGTCCCTCCGGGTCGATTCGGCAGCATGGCTACCAGAGTGTTTGATAACTGTACATACTTGCCCAATTATTCAGATGAAAGCTACGCGCGAGGTCCAATACGTTGTCTGACGTCCAATTGTCGGGAACCACACCATTGGGGCCCTCCGGGAATGATGGCACTAGTTGGCAAGATTGAGTTATGTGTTCGAGAGGTATGATCGAGGCGTGGGGTAAGCCGTCGGCGCGAGGAGCGGATTTGCGCACGGTGTACATAAGATGCGCAGGGTCGGCGGCACTGGAGAACGGGGCATACCACTCGACGTAAGCGAGTGGCCCTTTTGGCCACCACGAAGGGCAGGACCACCTCCATGGATGGCGGATAGTTTCCTGGGCAAGGTGAAGATTACCTTGACCCGTCCGGCTCTAGTACCTGTAAGACATAATAAGTAGTCACGACCGTGACTGGGATATGCTACTGCATGTACTCGCCTCTGACGCCTGTTGATTCAGCCTCTTCATTTTGCAACGCGACAACTGTGTCGAATCGATTCTTCCGACCCTGCCTCGTGGCACCAGGGACTGCCTTCACTTCGTCGAAATCCTCCTTGCCGTCCAGTAGTTCGTAACGCTTGAACCGGAATCTGTGGTAGACGTCAACACGGTCGAATGGCAACCACGTCTGCTCCAAGTTGCGTCGGCTGAGTCTGAGCTCTTCCGGCTGTAAGTCGTTGATCAGTCGAAGGAGCGCAGTCTTGAACGCCGGAGCATGGTGACGCTCCTGAATGCCTACGATGTTTTGCTGAGGGGCCTGCGGATACTTAGCGAGTCTGATACATCGTCCGCCACCGACGTCGTCCGTCTGGACCTCGGAGGTGGTGTCGTCCGAAGCTGTCGACGGTGGTGGTTGGCCAGGACATGCTCCGTGGTCGTCGTCCTCGGACTCGTTTGGCTCGTCTTCTGCCTGGCATTGGCCTTGGAACACCTCGTACATAGTGATCTTCTCCGCCGCGAGATCCACTTGACCATCTGCGGAAATTCATCGCGATGGTTCGTTGCGCGCCACGCATCTTTTGCGAAATCGATGTGTAGTCTCTCGAATGCTTCAGTATTGTAATTGTCCGTTGTGCCGTAGAGTCGGATGGATTCGGCATAGTGGAGGAGGCTGTGGATCTTCGGTATATTGAGAGAATCTCGGATCCCGAGCTTAATGAGGACATCTTTATGCTTGTGGAATGTGTCGAGCGCGTCAGTGAGGTAGCGTAGGGTGTCATCGTCATGGGTAGGATACTGTGCAAGGTATATGAAATCTAATAGTGAGCGAAACACGGTCATGACGGGTTTCGGAATCTTCCCTATCAGGCACCCCAAGAGCACCTTCGCCATTTCTTTTCGTTCTTTCCCGGATACCTGCGCCAGCGAGGAGATCCCGTGCTTGAAGTGGCGGACGCCGAATGCGGGAGGGAGGGAGCGGAGACGGTGGTCTAGTTCCGTAGGCCCTAGAAGGTCGTGACACCAAGAGACGAGGTGTTTAAAGACACCCTGATATAATTGATGCAGGATATCAGGGGTCACCGACATGTGTATGTCGGTGTACGGAAGGCCGGTCCAGAACGGCTTCGTGACGGCACCGCATACTTCCCTCTCCATGCACTGACTTTCGGCTGCTGCTGGCGTGTTAGAGTCTGCCCATGCCTCGCTAATGGTTTCTGCCGTGGACTCAGAGGTGCGCGAATTGCAGGGAGAGGGATCGCCTAGCTTGTCCGCCGGGCAGTAGCATTTTGGGCAGGTGCCGTATTTCGAGCAGGTGACGAGCGTCTGTTCGGGGTAGTCGGCGACATAGGCTGCGAGTACGGGATGCACCCGTCTGACAGTCCCGTCGCCGCTAGTCACGTCCATGCCTTCCTCGCCGGCGCGGATGAGGGGACGCAGGATTATCCTCATTGCCGCGTGGAAGAGACGCTGGTTTCGCGCTTTACGCTGGCGCTTCGTGAGCCTGTCCTTGCTGACCTTCGAGACGGGAAGGTACCCTAGTAAGATGCAGGCATGTTCAGTAGGCTTGCGGCGGAGAGCACGGGGGATATTGCCTAGTGTGAGATACACTGGGTAGGCCGACTTGTTGCCGCAGAACTGAGTAAGTTGTGTTTTATCTGTTGAGATTATCACGGGCGCGACTGCTGCGCCGTCCGGGAGTAGAGACTGAAGTATGTAAAGACATTAGTTTGTCGTACGTAGCAATGAACGAAGCACTAAGTCACTGTACCTGTACCGCGTTCCACCATAATCCTGTCCACATTTCGGAGTAGATTCTCTTCGTTCTTGATCGGTCGGCGAATACGCGTCGCGGTCGATACACGACGTCTTTGGCATGTGCTGGATTTCCGAGAAGGGCCTTGATCGCTTCGAGGATGTCCCTGTAACGTACCAAGTGCTGCTCATCGATACGATCCGGAAACGTCAGAGACGTGGTTTTCCATGCAGCGCGGTCGGGAAGGGCGTCTACTTTGATGAACAACTCGCGAACATCCTTGAACGTGAGTCCTAGTTTCTCTACGACCTGGCCGCCAATTCAGGGAAGTAAGGCGATAGAAATACGGCACTGCACAACGTACCCCTGGTATGCTAAGAAAACGATTTAGCGATCCTTGCCCCACATCCTCTCTAATTATCCAGTTCGCCACGCGCCAGTCGAGCTCTGAGGCGAACGGTCTCCATCGACCGTTAGGGTTTCTTTCCTGTGCGCATCCTCCCTCGTGCTCCTCGATGTCGACATCCATCCGGTCCTCCTCTGAGTCGTCGCTCCCTTCCGTTGCCGAGTCCTCCGCAAAGAACGCCTTCCATGTATCCACAATCCGCGGCTCCATTCGTATCACCCGGCCGGCTGTCGTATCGACATCTTCTACCCTTGTATCTTCGTCGTCGTCTAGGGCAGGGACCACTGGTGGTCGTCGGCGTGGAGCAGCCTCGGCTCGAGACGTTGAACCTGATGCTCCCCTGTCGTTTCCAGCTTCCTCAACGATACCCGCGGCCTCTGCTGGGAGTTCAAAGCGAAAGAGGTTACCGTGGTCGAGGAAAGCGTGGAAGTCTTCATAAGGTTCGTCCTCATCCATCGCGTCGTTGGTGCCGGACACATTGCACTCGGCGCTCTCGGTAACCTCTGGCATGTCGTGCTCAAGAGGAACTCTATTCTTTCCCTTGCGGTACCAAAGGCAAGATCGCGCCGTCGACATGTGCGCCATAAGCCCTTGGCTGGTCCTGCACGGCTTGTCACATGCTGGACAAGTTCTGTCGTCTTCTGTGCCCCGGGCGACGAACTGGTGATTTGACCTACGCATTCCTCTAGCCTGTCAACAAGTGCTGAGCTAATTGATTACTGATTTTTCGGACAGAGGACGGATTATTGCTACTCACTGGCTGCTGGTGTGGTTCTGTAGACTTTGTTCAGAGAGCGCGGGGAGTGACAGCGAAGCCAGGACAGAGCAGGAGCACGGCGTCTGATCTCACCGTCGACTGGCCCTGAACGGCCTGTCGTAAGCCTCTGACAGGCGTGATGGCGCCCGGTACGACGTACGGGAGATTGCTCATCTCATTCATCCAGTATTCCAACGAATTTTGAGTTGATTGATTCCGAATATTGCGGCTGACTTTGCTTCCATTGCTGTTTTAGACTTCGGCACTCGTGAAAAGGGCATGGAGAGTGTGTTCGTAGCCCGCGCAGAGCGGTATTGTGGAGCGCCAAACCGATCTGAGAGCCGGCACTGATCTCTATTCATTCGCTAATAAGGTGAGATTCCTATTTCTCCTCCTCTGGCCTCAGAACTCACCGCTGCTTATGTACCTCTGCACGTACTTCTGCTTGGCGGATGCGGCTAAGTTGACCCAATTGAGACTGCGGGAAAAAGTACACCGCCGTGGTGATCATTTCATTGCCTTCCTACGCTCGCTCTATCACTTACATATACCTGCCATCTCATAGAATCAAAACGAGCCTGTAGAACACAGACCGACGCGCCGGACAATACCGCCTCACCTATGGCGCACTGTCCGCGCGACTAGCAACAGACGGTCAAGGCACGGCGCTTACGGCATTGCCCAATACAGTTGCTGCCGTATCCCCTGCACAGCAACCGTTTTGGGAGGTGTCGCTTGCATTTGGTGCGTCGGCCGCATCGCGAATCGTTGCTCGAGCTATTGGTTCTCGGTTCGAAAAGAAGGGTGCGCGATCCTCCTTCATGTCCTTGTGCACTGACGGACTGAAACCTGGAGGTGCCACTGGCACCGCCAAGGTCCGAAGGTTCACACGGTCGCTGTTTGTATGCTGACGGAGACCAACTTCAAGGAAGGCAGCAGGCCAACTCCCCCTTCGCTGCTCCTCACAGTACCCACTATGTCTGCTACAAAGGACCAGTCTCACGACACTTGCGAACACCCTAACTCCGACACCGACTCTGTCCATAGCGACGGCACCGAGTCCAGTGTTCCCAACTCTGACGCCACGCAGGCCTCCACCAATCCGCCTGGGACGCCGCCGAACGAAGTCCAGCAGCTCTCGGATGTCGCCATTCGGTCGCCGGGCAACTCATTCAGGGAGAACGATAGAATCACCGGACCCCACACCCGAATCCTCGCGGGCGAAATGCCCCTCGACGACATGGTGGATTCCGCGACAACCTTTGACGGTCTACCACAGCAGTTTCTAGGAGCAGTCCAGGCTGGATCTGCTCACGATGAATCTGATCGCAAGCTTTCCATACATCTCCTTGGGTACCTCCTCGAGCTGAAGCGCGAGTGGACTCACGCCTGCAGGCGTGGGTTTGTCACGCAGGTGAAGTTCTACTTCTGTATTGACCATGCTACGGGAACTGAGCACCAACCGCACACAGGACATTCACGGCGCCGATGAGAACCAGTACCACATATTGCAGAAGTTTGTGGTCAATGCATGGAACAACGAGACTGCCTCGTCCGATGTAGCTTCGAAGAGTTGGATTGCCTTCGTCCGGTGCATTCGGTGATTTAGATCATGTTCCTACTCCTACATCTATTGTACTGACGAGTGAACCACTAGCGTCGACTTCTGGTCTGCTGAGCACAAGATCGTGCTCATCGCACCAACGCTCGAGGAAGATCTTACCAACGACATCGCCAGCTATATGGCTTTGGTCCTGCGACAGAGTGAACCCGAGCCCTTCCGATCGACCATCGCCGCCGTGGAAGACAGCATTGTCAAGACGGATACCCTGCAGACCGTGCTCAAGTGCAGTGCAGTGCATATTGACGCTGCGGTCGATAACGAAGACTGCGACGAGAACGAGGTCTCTGGGACCGGGCTGCCGAGTGTTCTTGGTCCCCTCGTCTTCTTCTGCTCGGTGGCGCAGACAGCGGAAGAATTCGTGTACCAGACTGGCAAGGTGACTCACGCTGCATGCCTGTCCTCGACGTCTGAACATAACCGCTGTTGCAGATCGCGGAGCTCGTAAATAGCCAGCCGCTGCTGCAAGGCTTTTTGCACGCTCTCATTGGGCCCCCGCAGACGACCTCGTCTGCTACCACCGATTACGAATGTGGTCCGGGGGAGCGCATCGAGTGTCGCGTCCTCCTGTACAATCATGACGATTTCCCGCAGTTCCTCCATCGCGCCAACAAAGCGAAGACACTCACCGACTGGAATCACGACGAGCACCACATGGTATGTCCCGTATAAAAATAGTGTGTTAATATATTTGACGCCTTCACCCCAGTGGTTGAAGACCACCCGTGGCCGCTTCCCCGTGACCGTTCCCGCGGACGGTTGGAGGAACTTCGTCCAGAAACTCGAAACCATCCGTATGTCCTATGCTGCGGTGGCTACCGAAGCGCGCCGTGCCATCCCACATCTTGGTCTCGACGCATTCCTTGCTGGCATGGATACAGAGGAGGGGGCTCCGTTCTCAGAGCGCGTGGCGAAGGACATAGGAATGCGTCTTGCTATAGCTGTCACGCGCGTTGTGCCGCGGGTGCGCAGCATGTCGCCGGAGGAGAAGGCGAGAGCGAGGTACTGGCGGTCCGCGCTTCCAATGTACATGGAGCGCGGATTCATCCGCCACGACCTCTTCGTCGATAATTAATTTACGATGTCCTCCACGTACACCATCATGCGTTTTTCTCAATATACTTAACGGCGTGTTCGACGAGGCGACACCGGCCAACTTGAAATCGGATCGAGGGCACTTCGATGGCAGGTACCCGCGCCAAAAAAGGAATGCCGCACCCAATCCTTGGGCCGCCGCGTGCGGTACACGCACATTGCATTCTCAGAGGAGGCTTCCTGTGGGAATGCAATGAGCGGCTTCTTACGATCGCACGATCGATACGCTCTGACTCTGACCTCCTCCACCGTTTCTTGGCTCTACTCTACTGCTACTTCACCGGCCCTCCCGCGTCCGCGTTGCTCTCGCCTCCGCTCATTCGTGACTCTGCTCTCGCGTCTGCATCACTCTCCCCTTTGCTCCGACGCGACTCCTCCTCACCGACTCTGTCGCATCAGCATCACGCCTGCGTACTCTCCATCTCGATGCCGGGCCCCGTCCACAACGGAGGCAACAGTACCGTCACCTCGCTCTTCGACGGGAAATTCAGGAAGATGGACGACTCGATCGGAGGCGGATACTACAGCTGCGTCGGTGAGAGGAACCGAGGGCACGGTTTCATTTCGGATTCGGAGTATATGATCGTAGTGGGTCGGTCGGGTAACGAAACCATGGTCAGCCAGGAGTTCTGTCACGCTCAGGGGATGCCCGATTGTATGCGCAAGGTGAGTTTCAATCTTCTCGTGGCTGGCATGGTACAAACGTTCAGCAGGTTAAGAGGCAGAAAGATCGCAACATGGCACCTCTGCTAGGATGGTTCATAGGCTGCGCCGTCGAGAAGCGGGAGGCGCGTAGGAAGCCGGACGACGGCGTTCTACGATCCTCGCAAGCCGCCAGAGCGCAAGACCCGCACGAGCCGCGTCGATGGGGGCAATGGTGCCACCGTACCAAGTTCCGCAGAAGCGAGAACATCTTTCCGCTCGACGAATACATCCTTAACCCCAGGTCCCACCAACTCCGGACAGACAAATTGAGCGCGACCGGGATCGCATTCGAAGGCTGTCCAGTATTCGGACAGGTCGAAATCGCGCTCATCTATATACCAGTAGAAGACGGCGACCTCGTCGATGCGGCCGTAGCGTCGCACTGGAACGCGAAGACAATCATGTCGAATTTCAAGACTATGGTCAGCATTTGCCAAATCGTCTGTGCACTCACTAACCAGCTAGTACTACAGTATATACGTCATGACATGAACGACACCGGCGTCACTGAAATGTGCGCGCAGTTGAACATTCTCATGTCGAGAGCATGGACTTTGTTCCATGCTCTCGACGAGTACGAGACCTCCGCGCACCTCACCGTCGACGACTTGAGTGTGGGCGCCCAGCCCTACGTTCGCCGCGCCTTGCGATATACCTATGATCCGTTGCCGACTCTCCCTTCCGACGTCGTACTCCCGCCCGAGGCGAGGTTCACAGAACGTGAACTGACCGACTGGGCCGTGCGCTCGACACGCTGCCTATGGCGCCAGATGCAGGTCATGACGACGACGCGTATTGAAAAGTGGTTGGCCACCGTTTGATTCTCGCTTGCTGTATGTAGTACATCCTCGCACTGCTCTGTCGTCGACGTCGTGTTTTCTTGCTCGTTGCTCAGTATCCAGCCAAGGTGACTCTCGAAATGAAATTATTTTGCGCAAACAATAGCGGCACTGGCTTCCCTGACGACTAGTGTCCGACTTTGCATTCGGTGCTCAGCCGTCCTGCAGACCCCTCGTCCCATACAAAATTCAAGAATGAATCACCTCCGCGTTTGTCCCTAGGTTGTCTACAGCATTTCAAGCGGCATCGGCGGCTACCTCTGTCTTCTAGAGCACAACACCCGTGACGGACCGGAGGCATCTCCGCATCATGATCTCCCACACGCACATTTTCCATCTTGGACCTTGCTCATACAACTTGTCGTCTCGCTCCATCTTAAGCTCAGATGTCTCGGCGCGAGACACGGTCCACTGCGCCGTCGAGGGAAACCCGTAGTGCTCCATCGAAGTCGAAGACCGCTGCCGCAAGCAAGCCGCCGTCCGTTGGTTCAAAACGGACATCGACTAACAAGCCAGCCTCGAAGAAGGGAGCGGCTGGCTCAACCAAGCCCGCATCCAGTCAACACGATGCCGCACCTGAAGTGACCTCCATGCCCTACGCCGAGCGACTCAGGTTAATGAAGACCGCGTTGAAGCCGCAGCGGCCGGACCTGACAGCGAAAGAACTCGATGTTCTGGCTCGCACCATGGTCGCGGGGGCAAGCAAGGGAGGTAACGCAGAGAAGGAGCGTTTTGACGGTTCGTACAGGCATACTGCTCAATATGGGAGGGACACTGACAAATACGTAGTAATACAAGCAAACGTTGCCAACATGATGGCAGACGAAGATGTCGGAGAGCACACATCGGACGAGATACTCGAAGATGACGTGAGTCTAGAGGACCAGTCTCCTCAAGCTTCGAAGGGAAAAGGAAAGCAGCAAGCCAAGACGAGTACGTACCTTACTCCGACTAAATCACAGTGCTCAACGGGCTGTAGCCTCCCCTCCTCCAACCCGAGTGTCTCCCAAGCAGCGCAAGAGGAAGGCTCGCCAAGATGAGGAGAAGGCGGGTAGTGCGGAGTCCAGCCCAGAGCAGCCCAAGAAGAAGCAGAAGAAGACACAGGCGACGGATGACGTGTCTCCCGCGCCCGTTGAAGTGGAAGAGTCAGGCTCGGTGCGGTATAAGAAGAAAGCTCAGGCTACGAAGAATGTGTCTCCCGGACCTGGCGATGTGGAGGAGGGTGAGACGACCATGCACCGTAAGTATTCATATGCCTATTATCACTTGCTCGTTGGCCTCATGGTACATTACAACAGGCAAGCCGGTGGAGAAGGACAATACGGTGTCTAAGGACGAGGATCGCGTCGCGTCTCTTCTAGGTAAGTGACGGCTTAGCTTGCATGCGTCGATTGGTAACTCTCGAATAGCTCGCAATTCAAACAAACCCAGAAGGACGCGTCGTGTTGGCCGGAGGGTGCTGGAGAGCAGCGATGAGGAAGCTCTGGGCACGGATGAGCAGCGATCATCCGATTCAGAAGGTAAGGCGATGCTATCACGGTCTACAATGCTGATGCGCGACCCGCTCCGCGACTGACTGCCATATGCAAGGTCCTCGTGTTACGGAAAGCAGCAGCCCCGATCGACGTACAAAGCGGCCGCGTAAGCAGAAGACCAACTCGCCGTCGGTGCATTCCCCCGTCAACATCGACGATTCGGGCGAGGACAGTAGTTCTTTCAAGCCGGCAGCCGACGAGAAGGACAACGAGAGTGAGGAAGATGTGGGCGAGGTGCATGGATCAGATGATGGGGTGGGTGATGGGAGACCATTATTGACTTTACTGACGTGCACCCTAGTTGATCATCAAGGACGTTGACCAGCACAGTGGCCGGAAGGGCAAGAAGAAAGTGTTGCCGAAGACTCCACCAGATGCTGGCAGACTCATGTATGAATCCCTGTGCTTAGCACAAATGGGTCATACATAAACTCCAGAGCTTACAGTGAGCCTTTATGTATAAAGGCACTGTAATGACTTCAGCGGGCGCCCTGCTCACTACCCGAATAGGCAGCTGCCCTTTAGGGACAGCCTAGGTCACCCGGCGCCGGCTCGCCACGGCGGCGGCCACCCTAAATAGGGCCAGTCGCGCGCTGGTCCACTTTGGGTGCCATCGTAGGCATCGGGCGATTGCAATCACAATATATGATCAGCTTGATCTCAGGCTGACATATTTGCTCCGTATATAGCCGTTAGGACGGTGCCTGAATAGTCTGCATATCGAGATCCAAACGTACATCGTGACACGTGTGTTACACATCATGACATATGCACTGCATATGTCGCACTCCATAAAAAGAACTTAGAATTTGTTCTTTGCAATGATATGGCTAATGACTACTACTTCAAGTCTGTGCGCGAATGGCCAAGTCAAAAGGCGGCAGCCGTCCCAATTGAGTATGTTTGGAATCCCGACAAATGATCAGGCTTTGATACCTGCAGCGGTTGTGTAGTGCTTGAGGCTGCAGAGGCCGATGGAGTAGCCCCTGCAGTGGAACTTTTCACGGATCTCTGCCCAATCTCGGGCTTCCTCAGTAGTGTCCCCAGTACCGCACTGTAGGGTATGAGTATCACGGGAGTTAACCATCTGCGAAGCGGCTCAGCATGGTGGTAACGCAGATGGTGTGGTGGTGAGCGTACCTTCACGAACTCTGTGGTGCCAGGAGGGCACACATGTTAGAGAAGCAACGGGCACTGAACGGCGAAGACATACCATCGTTTTCGATTTGACCATCACCATCGACATCCGCCTCACGGATCACTTCGTCGACCTCGTTGTTCCACAGCTTCTCGCCTACGCACCACCCGCATGATCAGCAGCACCACCTCTCCACGAAGACGAGGGCACTCACAACGGTTGGTCATAACGTGCCCGAGTCCGTGGCGGAGATGTAGCCGTTGCCGTACTGGTCGAAGACCTTGAACGCCTCCTTGATCTCCTCCTGGTTGTCCGTGTCACGCATCTTGCACGCCATCGTCGTGAGGAATTCGGGGGACCTGAAGTCAGTTGTGCCATTCCCGCCTGCATCGACCTCGCTGATCATATCTTGCGGCTCCGCCTCCATCGGGTTCTGCCCAAGCAAGAGCATCTCTTCGTACCCGCTGACGTGCCATTTGACACGCCCGTCGACGCGCTGTTCGACATATTCGTTGACGAGAGGTCGGTCTGAGATAGGTAGTATATTAGTGCATACATAGATGACCGGGCCAAGCTTACCCAGTTGTATTCATTCCTTAATATGTCTCGGAGTGTCCACCGTTGTCTTCCGCACAGAGATGAACGAGAAAGCGGGACGGTAGAGTCACAGTAGCGTGCGGAAGTGAGGCGAGCCATGCGGGCGCCCGTAAACTCAACGTTTGTATCTATTTGTTTCCACACCGAATTGGGCAACTCCGATGTGCTCGGGCTGTTCCTGACCAATCAGAACGCGTTTATCGGTCCTACTTAGGCCTGCGACATATCTGCGACTCGCGTTCTGGCCGTTTCGCACTAGGTACGAATGTTCTGTATGCTGCAATAGGTATTAGATACATGATTAATGGCATATATTGAGTGTATACAGTACAGTAGAGCATGCAAGCTATTCTTGTGTAGTACAGTAAGGATGTCTACCTACAACTAGTAGTGTACTGGTTCTCTCAAACAGGTGTCGCGGCGCGTTATATACTGGACTCGTTGAAACACAGTCATTGTAACTAAAATCTACGTTCTTACTACCATTGCAAGGCCTCTTTACCAATGTGTCCTTACAACTCCAGTCATTGAACGTTGAACGTTGAACGCGAACACGATGGTCGTTTGATCAAGCAATTTGTGTGTATTCCAGACTGCTCTATTCTAATCCAGCACGGACCCTATCTACTAGCATGACTCTGACTTCAACTGAGACTCGTGGGGGTGTCTGCGTGCAGGGGCAGCAGGGCAGTCACCATCCGCGCTCGCGATTGGCGTGTATTGCGCATGTCCCGGCCCTGCCCACCGCCGCGGTCAGCCGCTGTTCGCTCACGCGCCCGCCTTCCGTTCGTCGGCCGTGCTTGGGTGCTGGGCATTCGCCCTGCACGCTTGCGGTCGCCGTGCGTATGGCACTGGTCCGTGCTCTGTGCCCACCTGCTTGCCCTCTCGCCCTCTCACCCGTTTGCTCGTCTACCCGCCGCTCCATCCGCCCGCTCGTCCACCCGCCCGCTCGTCCATCCGCCGCTCGTCCATCCGCCCGTTCATCCACCGGCCGCGCGTCCGCCCGGCCTCTCGTCCGTCGCTCGCGTGCCTGTTCGCCCTCCTGCGCCTGCATTTGTCGGCTGCGTCTTCGTGCTGAGCACTCGCTTAGCGCGTTCGTGGTGAGCATGTGTTGCCATCTGCGCAATGGTCTGTCTGCCCACTCTCCTACCCCGTCGGCTTATTGACAATCGGCCTACTCATCTGTCCAGTCGCCCGTCCAGTCGCCCGTCCAGTCGCCCGTCCAGTCGCCCGTCCAGTCGCCCGTCCAGTCGCCCGTCCACCTGCCCGCCTACCTACCCACCCGCCTACCCTCGTGCCCGTTCCTGTGCCGCGCCCGTCGGTTGCGATTGCACGCAGGGCACTAGCCCTGCGCCCTCGCAGTCGACGCGCGTGTTGTGCTGCACGTCGACGCGTCCTGTGCCCATGGTCAGCCCACGCGCTCGCGTGCGTCTTTACTCACCTTCGCTCGACGCTAGTGCAGGCTGACACATCCGCCATCTGTTGTGGGACGCGGCTGCATGCCCGGTCTCGTCGTGCGCGCTGCGGTCCAACGGCGATGGTGACCGACGCGGGATGGTAGAGGTCGCAAAGGCGGCGGGTACCGCTCGCTCGGTTCGTTGCGGGAGGTTGCGGGCTTCCGGACTTTACCGAAACTGACGCCACGACTCGGAAGCGGGCGCAGGGAATCGGAGATCGTACGTGATCTCAGATGCCCTGACCCCGATGTGCGTCCATATGAGGAAGTGCCGCATCACGCGGTGCCGCCCCGCCGCGGACGAAGGGACCGGGTGCCTCGGGCTGGCCCGGTGAGGCTGCTATAACGGGCAACGACCGACGGCGCCTCGCTCATACATGAGTGAGTGGCAGCTCATGTATGAGAGCAGCTGCAGGTAAGTACTGGGATTTATGTATGACCACTTTGTGCTCACTACAAGGATTTTATACAAAGATATGCCTATATGGCCTGAAGACTCCCCGCGCGAAGGACACCGCGTCACAGTCGAGCGACGATCCGTTGACGAAGGAGCCCATGAAGAGCTTCCTGCAGCGGGCCCAGCAAGAGCTCCGCGTGTACATCGCGGTCGAGAATGCGTGGCCCCGCAAACGGGGCCAGAGGGTCGAGAAGTTCGACGTGCCTCAAGACATTATCGAGCTGCTGGTCGAGAAGAACGCCCAGTACCAGGCTGATGATTTCCAGGAGACGTTCCAGGAGTTGTGGGATAACATTAAGACGAAGAACCGTATGATCAAATATGTAAGTGTCTACCATGCTACGAGTCATTGGTAGACTGTCATCTTGTGAGCCCCTAGGTCTACAAAGTCGCCGCACAGGTCCGGCAGGAGCTGAAGCAGAAAGCCAAACGGGTGGTAGAGAAGGAACTTTTATCAGTCAAGATCTCCGATGTTGGCCTCGACGCGGTTGCTCGCAATGACAAGTTGCAGAAGGCAAAGGAAGCGCGGATTAAATACCTTCGCAACCACAATACGTTCCATTACGGGAACATAGTGATGCCGGACCCGGACGTTTCCCCCGAGGTAAGATTCATGCCTTGTAGTGCTTGACATATTCTGCTAACTGCTATGAGTAAGCTGTGGGACGACCCGGAGCTTGACACGCCTTTCCACAGTGTCGTGATCGCGGAGATCATGGCGCGGCAGTGGTGGCTCGGGCAGCACCCGGAAGCCCTCCGCCGCGAGAACCGATCTCGCTTTGACATCAACGTCAAGCCGCCGTCGAGCAATATGATCGCTCTGACCTGTAGCGCAGTGAGTACCTGAGTTTCTGCATGGATATCGGATAATTCGACACATTGACAGGTTCTAGTCGCATTCGATGAAGCATTGGCCGGCAATTCTACCGTGAACTTCGATGAAAAGACGTATGCTATGGAGTGAGTTATTTAGTGTTCCGCCTTCAGCTGCTAATCACCTTGGTTCTGGCAGGCATGATCGCCTGAAAGCTGGCATAGACAAGCTGCGACGACATGCGGATGCGAACAGCAGGATGTACGACGAAGGTGTTGCCGAGCTCGTGAAATCAATGAACGACACTATGGCCGCCAACATCATGTAAGTCATCCCCATTACATCGAACAAATTTGCTAACAAGTGACCCAGGGCCTTTGCTGGCATTGCCCACGACAAGAACCGGAGGGACGAGGGCAACGCCGAGGAGCTCGATGATGGCATTGACATGAAGGCAGTTCTCGGCCGATGGGGCAAGAAGAAGGCATCGACGTCCGCTGTCTCGGGTGCACAGGCACAGGCACAGGCAGGGCATGTATTGTACCCCCTCGCTCCAGTCGCGAGCAGCTCCAAGACCAAGTAAGACGTCGTCGTCGGGACACGCGGTAAGTAGTCGGAGCCACACAATATCACTCTTATGTGAGACTGACACTATGCCTAGTTCGTGGATCTGTCCTGTACGATAGGATACCGTGTTACCGATCTGACCGTAGGTTGCTGCGTTAGCCTCGTTGGCGTCTCGTCTCTATACCATCTATGTTGTAGTATCTAGGTGTTGTATCAGTGGGTGTAGGTGCTTGTTCGTGCTGTGCATGTATTACGATTATCAAGAGGATAATTGATGTGCCCTACAACTTGCAAAGAAGATGTGTCGACAGCGAATACTGAGCTGGATTCGGAATGCGGGGTCGAGGAACACAACAAAGTGATTCTATAGTAAGCCCAACCTGGCTGAGAGCGTGTGGAAGCTACGAAGATTGTTTGGTTGAGCCAGCTCTCAAAGTGATTCAATAAATTGATAAGCTCTCTGAGACATGAAAAATGAAATCCAATGCACTTGAGACCGAGGGACTTGTCTTGTAGAGTACTAGGCGCCTATGTCTGCTCGAGAGCTGGTCTGTCCGCTCTACAACTGGTCTCATGGGATCTACAAGTGCTTGGACACCCGGGCAGTTTTTCCTGATGCATGTCGGCTGCGCGATCTCATTGAACACCGACGACGAGCTTTTCGCCAGACCTGCCAACTGTTTCTTGGCTTTACCGAGGGTGGTATAAATCCGCTTTGTTTTCGGAGTGACATCGGGATTCAGCAAAGCTGGCTCATTGTATGTCGGCGGCGGTGTCTGCGGTGCTTCGGATGGTCTACATTCGAGTGGTAAGTGCTCATTCTCTGGATTTGGAGACTGAACTTGCTCCTCAGTGACTTTTCGCTTTTTTATTGCATGTCTACCCAGATTTACGATAGCTTGCAGGAGCTTGCGCTTTTTTTGTGGCATTTTACGATGGTTTTCCGGTCGTCGAGCGACGGCGCTTGTGCGATCGTTACCTGCGCGCCCTTGCTTAGTCAGAGTGCTACCGTATTTGTGCATCAGTCTACGAGACTCCATCACTTACACAGGGCACTGAAAATTAATGTGGACGGAACTTTGTTAGATAATGTCTATTTGAACCACATTTCGGTGGGAAATTACTTCAGAGTCCCTATTGAGTGCAGAGAATGCATTCGCGAAGTATGCACCCGCCAAAACCGGCATAAGCGCCTAGGGGTATTCGCACGTGATGATACGGGTTATGAGTGAGGCCTATCTTACTTGGGTACTTGAGTGTCAGCTCTCCACAACCAAACCCAATCCAGGCTCTGCATGGTCCGGCTACCGACCTCTCCATGTCATTGGCCCTCTCTATAGCCTATCAGTCAGCAGCCGCCAGAAGTCGGCACCTGCCTGGAAAGGCTCGAAATTGTGGCGAGACGAGCGCTTCGGTGACCCGATCCGGCAGCTCCCTACTTGGTAAGGTAACTCGCTAGTCTCCGTTGCAGACCATACAAGCTGGCGAGCGTAGTAACTCGCCGACTTCTGGGGCTGCCGACTGACCGGTCTGAAATATTACAGCAGCAAAGGCGACACTGGACTCAGAGTTGACGGTTCTGCTGGTGCTTAGCGCCCTACAAGTCGTCGCAGAAAGGGTCCAAAAAATTGGCGCGCCCAAAACATCGTGGGAAAATTCTCGGAGGTCGATTTTTGGGGGTTTTCAGCCCCTCCGAGTTCGATCCTGCACTCAGAATCTTGCGGAAAAGTCGCGTTCGAGCGCTATACAGATTGTCGCCTTTGCTTGTCCGGGACTGTAGTACATCCCGTCTCTGCCATTCAAGTTACGTCCGAGATCATCTCGCGGTCCATCCGTTCTACCATCACAACGCAGATCACAATGACATTGTACATTTCGGATTCTTCACATGTCGTCGTAGACTTACTACACTTACCGCTCGTGATACTTGTCAAGCAGCGAACCCCCGCACAGCCGCGAAGTAACGACCAATATCGGCCACGTCATGCGTATACGCTCCGATGATGCCGTCCGGTCTGACCACCACGAAGGAGAGTCCATCGCCGTGCACGTCATAACCCGCATGGGCCGTCCCTTCGACATCAACGAGGGCTCGCGAATCTTTGGGTCGCATTTCCCTTCCCAGCACACTCTTGTGAACCACGGAGATTCTTGCTAGTCCCCCGTCAACATACTCTGTCAGGGGTTTGAGGTGCGCGAGCGTATCTGTGGCGGATAGGAAGGCGAGAATCGTGTGGTGCTCAGTGGAGAAAGTTGAGTGCAACGTAATGACTCCACCCGGAGTGTTGTCTGCATCGACGAGTGGCGTCGCATCCGGTGCACGGTCTCCAGCGCGTAATTTCGATGACTCCTGCCCGTACGGATTGTTCGCCGATGTATCATCTTCGCCAGCGCGAGCTTCCAGGACAATGGGCGACCATCGATAATTGATTCCGAGTTGGAGCAACTGCCTCGGACGAAACATGACTTTGTCGTTGCGAAGCTCTTCGCCTGCGTCGAGGGTCGAGGCACGAGGCCGGTTAAAGGCGAGGGAATGAAGCTGCGTGGACAGGCTGAGCATCTCCGCCACGACTGGCACACGCTCAGCCTCATAGGTTTTGAGAAGGGCAGGCGATGCAAGCCCACGGGTGACGAGGGCGAGCTTCCAGGCCAGATTGAACTGCGAGCACGCGTAAGCTTCCCATACCGCTCTGATTGACCGTATGTACGCACTGCATCCTGCATCGCGGTGTTCCCGCCTTGACCACCTGCTGGCGAGTGGGAGTGTGCGCTGTCTAAAAAAGGATATAAGAAATAGTGCAAGCACGTATTATCTGCGTTCGCGGGGCACACATACCTCCAGCCAAGAAGACCCTTCCGACGCTGAAAGCACTCGCCATTCGAATGTTCGCCCTTCAGAATGCCGTAAGTATTAGCAGAATACTGTAACACTCTGACACGACACTCACCTCCACTCCGAGATCCAAGTGGCATTGGACAAGGTGATATTCTGACTACCGCTGATTGATACGAAAAGCCGCTGAATACCTTCAGTGTCGGTGGGAAGGGTCGCAGGCAGATCGGGACCGACTGCTTGGACCTGGAATAGGGGAGCCGGTTTGAGTGGCTTCAGCGCAAACCTGCACAACTGTCAGAGGTCGCGATTGTATGCTAGGGTGATACACTAACGCCGCTCTGTTGAACGCTCCCCACGTGTGCCAGTACTGTTACTAGATGAGCTTCCGATGCAGTATCAATAATGAGAACAAGACGTACCTCTCGGTCAAGACCGTCAACGTCTACACTTGCTGTGAGCATGCGCTCCGCTTCCTTGGTCTCTCCCAGAAAGGGCAAGCCAAGACTCTTTCGGACGTGCCCTGAACAGGCTTGGATCATGCTTCTACTCGCTTTGCTGCAGGAGTGTAGGCCTACCTTTGGCGCCATCTCCACCAACCATGTACGCGCACTCAACTGTCTCTTCATATGTAGCATCGCCAGTGGACGAACCCCGAAGATTCGCTACCACTCCACTGGCATGCTGCTCAAACTTCGTAAGTTCGACCCCATATTCTACCTTCGCGCCCAGCTTCTCGATGTGCTTCCTTAAGACTTTCTCGAACTCGGCCTGGCTACAAGAGGCGACCCGGGGCTGAGCGGAATAAAGATTAGCAACCCAACCCGTCAAGGCGTCAGACAATAGTATGCGCACATAGGGAATGTGAGGGGATGGTTGGGCCTCTTGCTCCCATCTTGTGATCTTCAAGACTTCCTGACCGGTCCCATGTGTGGCCATCAGGAGCGGCAGGGTAGAGACTGCGAATATATCGTGTACGACCCCGAGAAACGCCAGCAATTCTAGGGTACGAGGCTGGACAGCAACATGAGCTCAGCGCAGAACATCACTTCAAACAAATGGCTATACCTGTATGGCTGTGCCCCGGGCGCCCCCGTGAGGAGCTCTCAGTTTCTCGACGATACGTATAGGAACGCCACTCTTGAGTAGCGAAAGAGCGAGCACTAGACCAGTGGGCCCAGCTCCGACCTGTGTAATAGCATGTCAGCGATGCCCGCTGAAGGCCGCCTAGCGTCGCATACGATAAGAACGGCTGGCTTGTATGCCATGTTCAACGGATCGCGGGTAAGTCAACCAACTAGGGGAGAAGGCCCGAAGGATGAGGCAATCTGAACTTGCGACGGCAGCGACTGAGTACGAGCTCGAGGTCGCAGAGATGGTTGCACCGAGGAGCTATATAAGAAGGATGACTTGATGTCCGAGAACTTTGTTGCTTGCACACGAAGACTACCAATATTTCCCGACATGACTCCCCAGATCAAGAAGGGTAGCTGAGTAGTAATTGTCTGGTGCAGTTTGCAAATCATTCACGGTCTGGACGGGTACTGAGCTTCATTGGGCGCTAGCCGGTAGCTAAATGCCCGTTGTGCTGACGGCACAGTCCGCGAACCTCGGCATGAACGCCAGTCGTTGAAGCCTTCCTTTTCTGTCATTAGAGTGTCGGAGGAGGAGGAGGGACTCCATTTAGTCACTACGCTCGAGCGCATGGGCGCCGTACGTGACAGCGCTCACTGTTTACATGCCGAGTACAGATGGAAGATGAGATCAGAGTTCATCCGAACCTTGAGTGATGACAGTAAGTTCTCGTTATCGCCGAACTTTATCTACCGGCGGTGCCGTATGTTGTGGTAACTCGCCAGCCAAAGTCGAGACTCATCCTCATTAATTCATTATGAAGCTCCGAGTGCGGATGGCAGATCATCATGATGTCCTCAGAGCTTCAGATCCGAACCTTGAGCGTGAGCTTGGGCGCTTGAGCTTGAGGAGGAGGACCGGGAGGGGATTCCATATAGTCACGATCGCGCGCCGTAGGGCTCGCCACGCGTGACTGAGCCTGAAGTTATCGGCGAAGAGTGCCCAGTGGGCCCGGGCCGCGCGGGGAGGCGGCGCGAGGAGTATAGTTTGAGCATCTGCTTGAGAAGGGATGCATGATGTCTGTGCCGGATCTATGATCACAGTGCAGAAAATAATATATCGCAGGAAGTAGTAAGAATAACGAATGTCATGGTCCTAGATCCGATAAGAAGCTCAATAGACGTACGTATCATACCCCAGTACGGAATGCATCGACGTCAAGGTTTTGGGCCACACGCTCATGTCGTATCGCGGCGCGCGTCTTCCAGAGTATCGTCGTACCCCGGTCGGGCCCTAGCTAGCTTGTAATAGCTAATCCCACAAATATTGCTAGACCCCCTCCCGAGAATGCGTGCACGGGCGGAGGGCATCAGGCCTTCGTCTGGCCTTCAATGTTCTCAGGTGCCAATCCGCACGCTCTGCCGATCGACCTCCAAATCTAAGTCTACTAATTCGCCCTTGACGCCGCTTGTTGTGGTAGCATGTTGATTGTAACATAGAAAGGGTACCGATTGAAGCCTCGGACGAACGCCGCCTGTACACGGTTTTCGGCGAGCATGGGGTCTATCAATATGGAATTTTTGAGCTCGGCGACGCCATGTTGTCTTCCGATACACATCAGAATTAGCAGGAGCCGATGTCGGCAAGGCTTCGTCGATGGCTGGAAAGTGAGAGAGAGCTTGCCAGCGGCTGCAGGGACGACATGATCCATGATAAGCGCATACTTGTCCTAAGTACGCGCGCGGTGGCAGGGTCATGAAGCGGGGTTTGGGTACGATGGGAGTATGTACGATGTTCCGATGGCTTGACAGAGGCACGGACTTAGGCCGCATAATGTGGTAAGCTGTCTGCGCGGTCTCTGTATCTGGACTTGCAACTCCTAGCACTACTAAGCTCGGAAGTGCGGTCACGGAGCCGCACCGCGGCCACGGTAAATCCTTCCCTCGTAGCAAGCCGCTGATACATATCGAGAGTCAGATAATATATTTCTTGCCAGTCTCAGCCTCGGTGCATACTATGAGCATGTACACTGGGCCGCCACCAAGATCAACAATAGAGAAACTTGACCCTCTACTCCTGAGTCACCGCAAAGTCTAGCAGCATTCCCGTCCAAATCAAGTAACCTAAATGTCCGTTGGCCTATGAGCGGGTGTACGGGTGACATGAGCAGGTGAACAAGAGGCTCGAGGCACAGCCTGAGGTGAGACGGACGTACTCTGAAAAGGTTCCCGCATTGTCGACCATTATCAAAGTCTACTGTTGCCAACTGCCAGATGAGGTGTGCCGCCGTGCCAAGGACTGTGGTTAAAAAGTATGGTAAACCATGTCCATTCATATACCCTGCAATGCCGAGGCATGCCACAAAAGCAATGGCGAATAGAGTAAGGATGGGTTTGATGTAGTCCCCGAAGAGAACTGCCGTGGACCGGATACCAGCTTTGATGTCGTCTCGCCTATCTTGACAAGCATAGATGGTGTCGAAGAATATAGTCCAGCTACCACGTACTAAAGTTAGTGCTGTCAATATGATCTTGTAATTGCCTACCATATGCTGCCCAATGATAGTATTATCACGACAGCCGGGGATTGAGGCCCACTAATAGAGAGCCATGCTACTGGTATGCCCAGCGCGATAGCTGCACCTATGTATGACACCGTGAGCATATGACAAAGGACTTTGTCGTCAGTCCTACCTAAGACTGCCTGTGGCCAGTACGTCCACCTCTTCATGAGTGGATATGGAACATCGACTGCAAGTGCTCCCGCAAGTCCTACTTTGAGCCTGACAATGGTGTCAGTAACATAGACGCTACGTTGTAGAAATTCTATATACACATCCACACCGGCAAGTTTCAGCAACAGGCAGCATAGTGCAACGTGTAGCATCGAAAATGATACAGCAACTGGGATGGAGACAAGTCCAGACGCAATCGGACGACTCTTGGTGCGTTCTAAAGGGGTATTAGACACTGCATAACCGTGACGGTGAGCTGGGAAAAGAGCCTCACCGACTTGGCGATCATATTCTCGATCACATATGTCATTCCAGATGCAGGCAGCACTGTGCCGTAGGGTGGAACCGACCAGGAACAAGAATGTCTGTACGGCGAGTTGCCTAGCAGATATACCACCAGCAAAGGCCCCCATTGTCAATCCCCAAGCTGGACAACAGGACAGGCATGTCAGCTGGGTATGCGGACGGAGCAATTTCTTACTGCAAGGCCAGAAGACGACGTCCGCGCCTGCGGGGAGGAGGTGGAACCTAGTCAACTGGTAATAAGCAGCCCACAGGGGCAGCCGCTTTGGGATAGTGGCGATGTCCTGTGAAGCAGATGAACCTCTCGACATGGTGGTCACACTTGTAGTGAACGTGCGGCTATATACTAGGCGGGGCAGTGGTTGGAGGAGCCGACACCATCCTCTGACGGAGGACGGCACAACTATACAGTATGGCCCTGAGAGAATTTTAGCTAATTTGATCTCAACTTGGGCTCGATGGCTAGAGCACAGTGCCGTCGTAGGGGTTTCTTCGTTCGAGCGCCCACATATCCTGAAACAATAACATGTAACGGATGCGACTGATCGGTTTTAGGAATATCGGTGAATAGAACGCACAGATGACGCACACAGGACGAGAATTTCCTCCTCCTCCGGCGCGTATACAGCTCACAGCCTCACTGTCGATATCACGCAACTTCGGGCTAACTGTCAGTGGCAAAGCGCACTATTCGGAGCAAAGTCAACATTTAGAGAACAGATCCTGATGTCTTACATAGAAGGGCAACTCAACAGTCATAGGGTATCTCGCCTGAAGGCCGCGCCGCCGCTTGTCGTCGCTATTATGCAGACCGCATGGGATCAGGCATCTGTATGCCAATAGAAGAGTACCGCGCCGCACGCTTCCTATAACCTGAATCCGATTCATCATGATGAGATGCCACTGGGGCAGTGACAACGACTCACACGAAGAGAAGAAACAGCGTAGAGTCCGAGATACGCCGCAAGCAGTCACAAGATTGCCTCCGGCAACCAGCGACTGGGTTCGTGATGAGGAGGAACACACTCACCACGAGCTGTACAGTCCTTGATGTGCCATGGAATCTTAGTGGAATCTTGAGTCCAAACATCCGCCGTGCCTCGCCGGCCCAGAACGCACATGCAACTTGCTCGGAAGCCCGCGCACTACATACTCACGGCATCCCCGGGCCCTTCGTGTAACGGGCGCGCCCGCTACATGCTTATGTCAGCACGTAGATACATCGCGCCAACCGTGACCTGTACCGTAGGTTTTCGCCTTTCCAACATCAGTATCTGGGTCCACACCGTGCCCGTTCTCGCTCGCTCCGCCCGTTCCGCGCGACCACAGCCACTACGATCGCCCGAGCCGACCTTGCCCATTACACTTCGCTCGCCATCGTGCAAGTGGCAGTGGCATGATGATGATCGTTGTTCTCCGTCGTGCGCGAACATCGAGTTACTGAGATATTCAAATTTTGCGATGATTCCTACACCATGCACTGTTTCAGGACAAGCAGCAAGCTGGATTGAACGTGTTTGACTCAAGGCGGTATGACGGGCGTCGAGGATCGAGCGACTCAGCGGACGTGAATAATCCGCGACATATATAGAAATTGGCAGAAAATCATTAGACTAGAAACTGGAATACGTAGATACGACATATTATATGTATATGTCCTGACACCATAGGTAGGTTCCTGAATATCGAGCAGGGGATACTCTGACTGTGTGGCGAGCGGTAAGTACATGACGTCTGAGCGGAGGTACCCAGGTGCAACATAGACACAGCCTGGCCGCAACACTACCGCTTGACTACCACATAGGTGATTGCAGCCGGTCTGTTGTAGGCCAATAATGGTCAGCTTCGTAACGTAGGCACTGCCTGAAATCGGACGCATTTCTGTTCACCAAACACTTTCAGGTCATACAAGTGGCTGAGCGGTCTTCAATTTGTCGAAAAGCTAGTCCAGGTGCAATTGGTGGCCCGGGGTAGGACACAGATACCAGGCTCTTGCTCGCGAGGCCTTCTAACGTGCATATAACGGAGGTCCGATGTGGTACCGTATCGTGATTGACCTTGCGGCGGTGACCCGGGCGACGCGTTCTGTTGCCCGAACGCTATCGGTGAGTTTTGCTGAGAAGTTCCGAGCCTGAGCCGTCGACAATCCTTGCATGCAAGCCTTTCGGAGGAGGCGATGTCTAATTGTCTGAGTCATATACATCGCCAAAGCAGGCAGCAAGACGGGGCTCTAGATATGCGGGCATGGGGGTCTGGAAGAAAATGACGAGTCCCAGACTACCGTGACTCCATCTCCCGTAGCCCTGTATGCTTTGCACCTGCTATCCCGCGAAGCAGGTTAGATCCGTGCTCGTCACCGGGTAGGCACTGAGGGAGAATACGGAGGACATATCAGTCACCGCACGCCCCGAGATGTCATAAACACTATACCTGGACTGTCTGCGAAACCGTCGCTTCCGTGAAGTCGGTCGGCATACTATCCACCTCCTTGTCGACCCGAATTCCACGCGAGAAGTCAAAGACATGCTATGAAGGGTAGATACTTTCACAATATATGGAGCGATAGACAAATCACGTACATCACCGCTCTCTTCTGGATGACGCACCTGGAGCGCGGACAAGGAAATGTGGTTGTGATCGGATCCCTGTGCGATACCTCGCATAATGTCTCGACTGTTGAGCCTGTCCAGCAGAATTACATAAGATAGACCGTTGGATAGTGAGCGGAATGCTTACGTAGCTAAAACCGAGTTCGTGTAGACTGAATGGACGGTTGTGAGACTGTTCATGCGGTATATCCGAATTGGGCATGCGTACCCTTCGAAACCGCCGCGTGAAAGACGACCCATACGGCCGCCTTCGGTAATGCGAGGTACTAGGAGGTAGGAATATGATCACAACAATCTACCAGGGCATGTCATATCGTAAGCCACTTACGGTAACGAGATACACAGTTTGCAAGGCTCTGGAGTAAACCGAGTGGGTATTTGCTACCGGTATGGAGAAGAAGAAGGCATACGCTGCAAAGACACCTCTGTTGATTGCGAATATGATGAGCCGATTGAGGAGAGAGTCCGTTCTGAGCATGCCACCGCCGGAATGTCAGAGTTTAGGAGGCAAGGCTACCGAAAACAGAACGCACTGCCTCGAATTCCCCTTCTGTCGGCGCAACAACGTCCACAGTGATAAGGTGATGGAGACGTCAGCAATCATCTCCAGAACCTTGTTTGCAGTGCACAGTGCCTGATAGATGGGCGGTTAGAACCAATCTACTGATATCCTGAGCGAGGACGAAAACATACCCCGAACCATCCACTGCTCACACTCCAGCGCGTGGGAGTTCGGAAACTAAGATAAGACGTTAGTAGCGTGTCTCGCAAGCGAAGAGCCCTGTGCGCGATTACATCACACCGGTTGTGGCTTCATATGGACAATATTCAGACACGTTCATTCAAGAACGCAACCGGACAAACTTGCCTAGACCTGTGCCTAGGTTAAGATGCGGACAACAGTCAGGACGGCTCGTGCGTTCCATCTACAATCTTCATACTTACCAACAGCGCCTAGAGAGAACACTCCCTGTTTACTCGTCAGCGCGGTTTCACGTGAGTGTGGTTCAGTGACATACAATAGCAATGGGAAGCATGATAGCTACGGAAGGCGGTAATTGTTTGCTGACTGTTGACATAATGAGCCTACGGTTCATCCTGCCGATATCGTGGACTTCTGAACGCACTCATGTGGATGCGGGTTATGAAGAACCTGTTGGACCTTTGAGCCAACGATCAGGGCAGCGTAGAGCGTGACTGTGGCGTACAATTGAGCGACAAATATTGTAGCATACTTTAATCCTCGTCAGCGCCGTGCCTTGCAGGGCGAATATTAGAAACACACGCACTGCGAAGCCACTTTCGAGCTATGACGACCAAGTAAACCGACGTCAAGACTCATCATACAAACTGAAAATACCATAATGCTCCTATTTTGGGGTACGTTAGACTGCGGAATACTCAAGTCCGGTATCCTGAGGCATGACACTCACCAGACCCCAATCGCACCGGCAGCTGGGTCCTCAAAATTCATGATGAGGTACCAATAAACAGCATGAATCTCGAGAATGATAGACATAGTGTCCAGGCACCTAGACAGAGACAATGCATTAGTTCAAGGGCTCCCACTCTTGGATGTATAATCTGGTGACCATAAGAGGAGAGCCTGTTCTCAGCGCGTGCGTGAATATGACGTTGTATGCGTGTGATGGGAAATGAACGAACATAGAGCTTCAGAGTCCGGCTGTCGCTTTGGTACCGTTGAAAGTAATACACAATCTGCAAAACCGTCATTCCGTAGAAACTTAGGAGATGCGGCGGTCAGTGCAATATAGTCGTTGGAAGGGCCTCGACCAACCTTGCAGCAATGATGACCGCAAGCAGGATAGCGCCGTAGGTGGGGCCCAGAGCATTGGACGCCATTACGGATATGGAGGCGTTGAGAGGGCTTGCTGTCTGAGATTAGTGATTGCAAGACGGAGGACGGAGGGTCGAGAAGCGCTATATGTATAGCTGTTCAGGTAGCTGTGGATGACCGTGGACGTGGCACATGGTGAGAATTGTAGCATCGAAAAAATCCACTTTGACCGTTTCGGAATGTTAATGCAGCAATAACACCGCCTCCAGAGCGGGTATCTGAAATGACAACCGGAGCATCTCGTCCGGAGCCTCAGCCTGTGATAGGGAGATGAGACTTAACGCTGGCTTCGTACTCCGAGGTGCTTCAAAGTTCACAGTCTGTTGTTCGCATCTGCCAGCAGTCCGAGTATGATCAAAGTCGGCGCATCCCGTGAAGCGAGTGCCAGTGTGTAACGAAAAATATCACACGGCTGTCCTCGTTGTGAATAGAACTGCGCATGCGAGATGCCCTGCCTGTCATGCGAGTCTGGAGGATGCACCCATACTTCGGGATGAACTTTCAAGGCCACAGGCTGCCGCGACGCTCCAATGAGCGCCTTCGCGAATGGTATTGTCGTGTCGATCAGACTGAGTGCCGAGTAGGAGCGGTAAGTTAGGTGTCCTGGACCTCCAATCCGTCCGGAAGGCCGCCTGCTGCCGTATATAGTAACGACCGGGCCTTGCCGCCTCCTCAACGAGCGCCCCGATCAGGCGCCCACCAGTAGATGGTAGACTGTTTACTAGACTCGCTTCTTGTCAGATGTTCACTCTCAGGCTCGTCATCCTCTGGTCTCTGCCAGATGTCCGGAACTCTCGTCGAGTATACTCAACTCCAAGGCGAAGTCTCGACCACTGGTGACCTTTCCTCCGCTCGACCTGGATCCTGGCTTGTCTAACCGGCGCGTCTCCATGAAGGAACACGGAGCTATAAAGGCGGCAACGTTGCAGTCGGGGAGTAGTCTTCGTGACCGATTCTGCTCGCGATGGGTGTACGTGTATGCGGCGGGCTGTAACTGCCAGTGGCTTCGAAGTACGGACTCTCATGGGCTACACGGTCCGAAGATACGCTTTACGCATCTTGGGCTCCGCCTACACGCAGAATCCAGGGTTCCACGATGGTAGGTTGATTCACGCCCAGGTATTGAGTGGATGATCACGATGAATGCTAGCTAGATCACCGAACCCGCATGGGCGCTCCTCCGTTGGACCCTCGGATCTGAGCGGTCCCACTTGCGCCCCTTTCGAAAGTTGTTGATCATCGCAAGAAACGGTTCTCCAACAGTTGCATACGCTCTGAGGACTTCTTCAGGACTCTTCGACCAGGGCCGCGCGCGAACGAGATGTTGCCGCTGATGCACCGCCTCTTCTTACAGTACAGGAGAGCACCTTGCTGCCGTGCTCCGAGCTTCCACGACAATTCAGGTTCAAGAATCGCACGATGGACTGTACGGGCGAGGCGCTCATGACGACTTCCTGATGTCGTCTGCCAGACAGCTGCGCGCAATCGAGATGGCCGGCTTAATGACACTGACAAATGCGCGGCGTTGCATCTGATACGACTCGCACGGGCGGCGTGCTCCATTTCTGTGGTGAAGATAGGGACAGCAGTATGTATGTCTGCTTTCGCAGTCAATAGCGCAGAATTGCTGCTGACGGGTCCGACAGCGGCCGTAAGGCTTGATTCCAGACCTTGAAACAACCTCCGAAAGCCAACACACCCTGAGGGAGACTGCGACCGTCTGCGCAAGCACCGATCCTCAGTGCGTTAAATTCATCATTCCTTCGGCCTGATCGGATCTTCCACATATACATACAGCCAGGTATCTGGTGTCGAATGTAGGGCATATTACCCAACGATCCGATCAAGACGGTGCCTTTGGTATTCAGTGACGCTGTACTCAGGTAACTACACTGGCTCGGAGCGTTTGTTGGGATCCGCTTCTTGAGCATTTTGAAAATGCGCGCGACCCAACTGACAGCGTCTCAGATGCATTTGAAGCATGTGCATGATCCTTGGTCTCCGTATCAGAAGCTGGCTGGCATGAGTAAGTGTTCAACGGTGCGTGACCTTGACATGCTGCGCTCGGAGTCGATGGTGTCCGCCTGAACCATACACCTCGCAGATGGAGTGTACCGAGACCTCAGAACCACGGACGGGTCAGCGAACTGCTTTACCTCTTCGCTTCATGGTTAGTGTTCGTTTGCACGTGTGGCACGCCCTGCGAATGACACGCGGTTTTCAGCGCACACGAATGACACCTGCCGTAGTCCTCTTTCAGAATGCGGAGACTGTAACCAACTTCACGGTGCCTCCCCCTGGCGCGATCAAGCGATATCGAAGGTATGGCAGCAAATACCTTTGCCCACGATAAACCCAACATACTCTCCACACGAGATTATGGCCAGCGGAAAAACGCTGAAATTTTATAATATTTACAGCTTTGCAGATCAGTGTATAAGTATGCGGCCGCGAGGTAAGAGTGCCCATCCTTTGGACGCCGACCCCCGCAGTCCACCATGAGCCAAGTCTCGCATACCGATGTCCTCGTGATTGGTGCTGGACCTGCGGGGCTCATGACCGCGGTCTGCCTTAGCCGCCTCAACATACCATACAGAATCATAGACCGCCGGTAGTGTCACTCTCCTCCTGTCCTCCGTGCCTGTTCCTTACACCCACTCAGTCTACCTGAAGAATCAGCAGGTCAAGGGGATGGCATTCAGCCCCGGACGATTGAAATGTGGGACAGTGTCGGGATGGGAGAGAAGCTGAGACAGACAGGCTTCCATCTTCACCGCATGGTCCGCCGGCATCTCTCCGCAGCGACGACAGCTCACATTGACAGATCGTGAATGTAGGTTACATATGAAGCGAACGACGACAGATCCGGGATAAAGGTTTGTGTCCAGCTGCACGGTCTTGGTGCTCTATTCACAGGACGGCATCAGGCTACTAAGCAGGGTTCAGACATTCCGGCATCTTCTGCTCGATATCTCTATGAGGTGCAGCCGTCATGATACTTGGTGTATCGGAACGCTGACTAACGCCACTCAGATTGTCCTAGACCCAAAAGATATTGAGCGGCTCATGAGGGAGTCGTTGTCGGAGCAAGGCATTCAAGTAGAACAACCAGTAGTCCCTCAACAATTCCGTATCATCAATGAGTCAGGACCGAATGATGAATACGTTGTTGAAGTAAGTTGAATATGTGGTGATGACTTATCTCATTAACTCACGCACGCATGCTTAGGTGACATGCGTACACCTTAAGGCGGAGCATGTGCGGACAAGCCGTCTTCCACTTACCTCGAGAAACGAGTTAGCGGATATTCCCGAATGCTTGGCGAAGGTGGAAAGTATACGCGCAAAATATGTCGTTGGCTGCGACGGTGAACATTCATTGCATGTTCAATATACACCTGCTGAGACTACAGAATGTGCAGGTGCCCGCTCTTGGGTCCGTCAACAGTGTGGAATCACCATGGATGACTTAGGTGGGACGGTCGTGGCGGAGAACTCAAAGCCTGCAATAGGCGAAGTATGGGGCGCAATGGACCTGAAGCCGATCACCGACTTCCCGACTCCGCTAGCAAAGAACATTATACAGTCGCCGCTTGTGGGTCTAGTAGCTGTGAGCCTCTTTTTCTCAATAGGGCGGTATGACTTACAAGGCGCAGACTGTTCCAAGGCCCGGTAACAGGATCCGTATATATGGGCAATTGCAGGACGACTCCTTGGTAAACGATGGGAATGTCTCAGCAGTGCAGTTAGCAGACATCTTGATGGCGGTACTAAACCAGCTTCGATCTCCTCCGAACGTCGCTCATATAGATTTGCAAGACATTCTCGCGTGGCTTCCAGCCGTACTCAATGGCCGCGGAAGATATTACGTGGTGTAGTCATTACAGAGGTAATTCCATGTCATTGCGGTACAAAGGCCTTCGCAACTGACCCATTCAATCAGCCAGACAGCGAATCGCTTCGACATTCTCGCACGCGCAGCGAGTTTTCATAGCCGGAGATGCATGTAAGAGAATGTTGCAGCTTAGGAAGATTGCGGCTGATGCTTCATCGAAGGTCATGTGCATTCTCCAAATGCCGGCCAAGGGCTCAATTTCTCGATGGCGGATGCTTATAATCTGGGTGAGCATTCCGGCGCTACGTGCGAAGTCATCTTTGTCAAACACGACCTCGGCCAGCATGGAAACTCGCATACAGCCTTCGTGGGCGCGCCGGAAATGCTCTCCTCGACACATACGAAACTGAGCGACGCCCTTGTAGCATCACGTTGATCGAGCTCGATATGGAGATCCAGAGGCTGATACGCAGCCCAAGTACGAGTATTCCGGAGCAGTATATGAGGTACTGCGTTTGTATCTGCACTTCACTCTTATGTAACTCACCCAGCCAATAGCCTGCTTGAACGACAGAACGCTTTCACATCGTAAGCGGTGATGACCACCTTGGCTAAATATGATGGGTGCTGACACCCAGAGCAGAGGCATAGGTGTCCAGTACGACTCGCGACTCACTGTACCCGACTTCCAAGATCTTGCGTGCGGCTTGGTCTTGGGACAAAGACTGCCCCACGCCGAAATTCTGCGTTACGACAGCTGGAGTCGCTGCAGCCTTCTTGATACTATATCATACCAAATGGCCTTCAAGCTTCTCATCTTCCCGGGCGATATCACGCTGCCAGCGGTTGGCGCGAGCTTCCGCGAATTCATCGAGCGCTGCGCCAGCTCCAAGGAGGTTGGTAATGGCGATGTGCAGCTGGGAGCGATCCTCTCTGTCAGCCATGGCACGGTGCTTGCAGAGGCGGGTGTGGTATCGGAACCGGTGCTCCGCGCTTCGCAGTATGTCCCTCGCACTCTCAATACATCCGACTGATGCCAAATATCTGACCGCAGGATATACTTGGACGATGTCCTGCATCCAGAAATGATGGCCGTACGACGGGGAGTCTCTATCGGTCGCTCCGCATAAGCACTGAGAGCGGTGCAGCTGCGCTAGTGCGTCCTGACGGACATGTGGCGCTGATAATTCCCGTGGCTTCGCGAGAGCTGGCTAGGGTCTGGAAGTATTTGTCGGAATTATGAAGTATGAAGACGATGTGATGTGCTGTCCATTCACACTGGCGTCACCATCGTGCGCGCAGATGTCGCCTTCGTCGTCCTTCTCCAAAGACTTCGCCGTCATTGTCGTGCACCTTATCCTTGTCCTTCGATACCACATACCATGTGACCTCTCTGGACGACGGCGTAGCAATCACGGATACAATCTGTTTATGCTTCTAACAGACCGACGCACCTCTAAACGGATAACAATGAAGTCCACATATCGGATCCAAACCATGATGAAGTCGATTGGCAAGATCGCTACACGGTCATCCCTTCCAGAGGCCATCAGTAAAGCAATAATTTGTCCGGCTCCTCCTCCTCCTCTAACATTTTCTGTGCGATATAATCGCTGTCTAATCTTGTGTAATCCACCTAAGTATATGCGTCTGACAACCTGACTCGATGATCACAACTTCGAGTGATATCCTCACTATCACTGCGTGCATTGCTACTGTACAGTGAACGAACATATGCAAACACACGAGAGCCATCATAGCTACAGAACACACAGCCGGCCAGAAAGCGGGCAAATTGGCAGTTATGTAAGAAACGAGGACAAGTTGGCGAATGAGTGCGAATGGACCCGAACTAATCATGGGGAGAGAGTGTATGTGCGTAGTTGAGGGGGACAAGCGAGAGAACGTGTCGATGAAGAGAAAATTGGTGAGAGGACGGGGAGTGACTAGATAATTATGCGAGTAAAGCAATGGCTGTGTCACAGAAGGAGCGAGAGCGAAAGCAGAGGCATGGGTGCGTCAGAAGCAGAAGGTGAGGGGGTAAACGAGTGAATAGTAGATGCACAGATGAACGTCGCGGCCTGCCTGACTAGTCTCACCTACACGCAATACATTGACGATGCCTTTGTGGCCAGCCCGCTCGTCCTCGAGAGACAGGCTCCCCCTCTCCGGCGTCTCTTCTATCAACGTGAGACAAGACCCTCCTCCTCCTCCTCCTCCTGCCGTACATACCAATTGCCTGAAAGAGGACGTAGCTAGGCTATGCTAGGCTACTCACATCACATTCAATAAAGCCTATGGGCCTGACGTCGATGGCTTTGCGCTTCCAAGCACTGCCCGGTGACCTTGTAGGCATGTAGCGCGCTGTGTTACTGCGGCTCGAACCAGTGGACACGGTGACAGTAGGTAGCACTCACAGACCGGCACGAAGTCGACTAAGGCGGCGAAGGGACTGCCTGCCTCGGTAAATCGGATGATTACTTGACTGGCAAGCTTGACAAAGGAATCGACGTGCGCCGTGATGGTGCGTCCGTACGTGACCTCGAGTATCAATCCGGCTTCGTACCCACAAAGGCATGAGTACAATTACAGTCGCTGAAGCAGGATGACGTACCGCCTGTCAATGATACGTTTTGAGTATCTCAGCAAGCATCCGGATGATCTCCCTTTGTTGGATGGGTTGAAAGCTGCCGATTTTCGCTTTATCGAGTGAGGCCTAGATCCACCGCTGTTGGAGGCGCCATTCGTCGTGATACGGACGGAGCGGCAGGTTTGGATCAAATTATATCCTAATGAGAGTGTTGTTGCTCTAAGACGCATGGCGCTTCCAACGAGGACCACGTCATAGCACTCACATCTCGTGCATTAGGCCTTGAGGATCGAGCGGGGTCTGTCAGAATGGATCGTGTTAACTTGAAGTACGTTTGTCCAAAAGATCCTGCACAGCCGTCGGAGATTTGAGGACAACGGCTTCTCTGCCGAGCACAGAGAAGTAGACGACGTCGCCTGGAGTACAGATGAGCTGGCGAAAGTTGAGGCCTCCGAGTCCAACGATGTAGTCAGGGCACTATGTACGTGTCAATGACGATGCACATACCTTACTATGATGTATCTGTTCTTAAAAGGGTACACGACCTATCCCACTTGCTGGTGAGCGGAGATACAAGACGACAATGATCGAGGATCGCTCGCACTGTTTAGTATAATGTTGTTGAACACAATCGCACGTCCGATTGTTGTGCGTGTATACTGATATCTATGACACAAAAGGCTCAAATCCGGAGCACGTAGACAAGACGTACCGACTCGGGAGAATCTCGGTTCGTATGCATACCTGCGATGTCACCCATGTAACAACAGTGTGGGAGAGGGCCACGAACCATCTGCTTCTTATATGTACTGACGATTCGGATGTATATCGTTACATCATGGTACCTGTCATACTCATTTTGTCAGTGAGTCTACAATTGTGGCAAATCATATACAGTAAGACACTTCAAGTTGATCCCTGCGAGTCCGAGCCGCCCCCAGGCCAGAGGCCGGGAGCAAGGGGTGTGCATAGTTCAACGGAAAAGGAAGGGTTCATGATTAGTGATCGACGATGACTGCACGTCGTAGCTCGAAGCGCTGAAAGCGAGGCTTAACCACTGCTTTTCTTGCCATAAAATCACTCGTATTGCGTGCAGTCATTCAAGGTCGCTGTCACGCTGCTGACCGTGATGCGCTGACCTCCTATAGAGAAGACAGTTCAACGGGAAGAAAGCGGGAAACTACAACTGGTTACAGTACTTGCACCTCATTCCATCAGGTTCCCAAGCAATTCAGGCACAAGGTCCATCATCTGTTGGGATCGAGGGGCGATAGTGCACGTGAATTCGGGAGGATGACTGACGGTACATTGAGTCGCTGGGTATTCATCAGAGTTGTTGATACCTACCGGGTTTGTCCAGATCCAAACTGCGTTGAGGGGGTTATCTCTTCGCCCTTGTCGTTACGAGTTTTACTGATATTCAGCGTCGCCACTATGCTAGCGATTGCCATGAAAATGTTCGCGTCTGCGTAGTATTTGCCTGGACAGCTCCTGAGTGCACACGACCGCCATGTCAAGAAGGATAGGAATCATAAGAATTAACAGCGAACTCACCGTCTACCGAAGCCGAAGACGGCCGCACGAGGATCAGTGCTGTCCATCGCCTCCGCGTCCATGCCAAGGAAACGCTCAGGCCGAAAAGCAGATGCGTCAGGGTAGACTTCTTCGTCATGAGTCATTGCCCTGAGTAATTTTCGCGAGGTCAATGAGACTGAAGTCGAGGTTTTCGGCGTTCGACTGACCAGATGTTTGTCAAGACGGTCGACCCTTTCGGAATAGTGTGTCCATGATAGTCGTCATCTTCTGTCAGACAATGCGGGATACCTATAGACATCGACGTTCAGGACTGCAGCAGAACGAACGTGCGTGGTGTCTTTACCCAATGGAGTTGGAGTGCTCCAGCTGAGACCGTATGTAAGTCACCGTACCAGCACACCGAGACATGACTCACCGAAGTGTTTCCTTGATGAGACATTCAATGTAAGGGAGTGTATCTCTATCTTCCAATGCTGGAAGTCGATCTGTTCCGACTACACGATCCACCTCGTCCTGTGCCTTCCGAAGGACGTCGGGATGGATGACCATCGCCAATATGAATGTGATCAACACTATCCTCGTCTTCAAAAGGTATGCGACCAAGTCAACGAACATACGGTCTCCGAGCTGGTATACTTTGACTTACCGTGTCCATCCCGGCTGATCACGCAAGGTGCTGCTTAGACGTACGCGCACAGTAGTGACGACAAGGACAAACCTGCATAGATAGTACCGGCTGCCGCCATAATATCTCGCTCGTCCTGGATTAAAGTGCCGTTCTGTTGCGCATCCGTTATGAGCGTTGCCACGAATGACGGCTTCGCTGTACCCGCTGCCTGCGTGGGATGAGACGGACATAGGATGCTGATCTGGGCGTGTCCAACTCACAACGGCCTCTTTAACTGCGTAGTAAGTCATATGCGTGGCGTGTTGTACGTCTTGTTTCACCTTCAAGGCGTGCCGCTTGAAGCCTGCGCCGGGCATCCAGACAGGGATGAATTTTACTACGGACAATGAGTAGCTTTTGACAACCAGAATGGTAGTACTTACGCATGGGAAAGAAGTCCACTAGCACCGCCGCCGCCGAACCACTCTCCGACGTGCCTTGAACCGCTTTGTCCATCAACAGGAACCATGAGTCGTCCAGCGAAGTGATCACATGACCATAAGTGATTTCGGTCAGTATGGATGCAACGAAACTGAAAGCCCAATCAGCGTTGAGGATGGACAATCCGACCGAGTACTCACCGCTTGACGTGAGCGATGAAGTCTTTAGGCTCGCGCATCAATGACAGAAGCAGCCTATACGTCTCTCTACGGCGAATAGGTTCATGCAGCTGTATCGCATCCTTGTCACCGAATTCGCGCTGGATCCATCGTCGTTGCTTGCGCCGCGGCTCACTGTCGTATGGTAGAAGCACAGTGGTGTACCACTGCATGCTGCGTAACGCTCAGTGTTGCGAAAAAGCAGCCTATGAATGATGTTACTTACATTTCCGACATCAAGACGGTCCGGGGGCGACTGGATATATGGAGCCTCTCTTCTCCAACAATTCTCGTGCAACCCGGTGAGTGTTGATGATCAGCGTCGGAGTCCGGAAGAATGTCGCGAATATGGGGTCACCTGCAAGAAATGACACTTGGTTGAAGGACTGATAATGTATCAAGACAGACACGCACCATATGTTCAGTCCATTGAGCCAGTGTCCGCTCAAGGTACTCTGTAGGGAGCTGGTGTATATTACCTATCAGCGGGAGAGCTCTTGGGCCAGGTAGGCCTCGATTCCGCGCTTGTGCACCAGCCGACGCACAAGAGCGATACATGAGATCAGTGCAATAGTACAGGCCAGCAGAGAATAGGAGAGAGACATGTGTACCCAATGGGTTCGAGTACCACGGATTGCCCGACGGCTCAATACGGAGCACTCGCGGAGTTTGCTTTCAAGGGCTGCGATTGCAAAGCATGAGTGCATGAGTGACTGCGAAACTCGGCGCTAGAAATGGCACTAGGTATTGTTGTCGGGTCGCCAACGGGTCGCCTACTCCTCCGGAGATCGACTGAAGGCCGACAATCTAGACGGCCTTCCCGTGTTCCCTTGTTTCATGATACCACTGGCCAACCACTGGCAGCGCGCATCAAGACCTGCGAAATCCAACGACTCGTCGTACACACCATCATAGGCTGCCGAACGCCGGGCCGTTAACCTTTGCCATACAGCGCAAGAGTAAGGAAACGTCTTCTCGTACAGCCAGTACCACGACAGCTTTTAGTAGCCTAAGTAAAGACAATTGCGACGATGGAGAACGCTCACCTACAAACTGGTCGTGGCCGAACATTACTTGCTCTTCGATGGCTTGGCGCAGCCATATGCAAAATAAGTGCAGGTTGGCCTGAATGTTCGCGCAGGCAAGTTTGTCCTGTTGAAGTCGCGTCACAGCGGCAAGTCATCGTCATCTTGATTGATAACAGATCGAGGCGCAGTTCTCAACATTCCATCTCCAGTGGTGATAACGATGAACAGTCAAGGACTGCCAGTAATAGAGCTTACTGTAAACAAGACGCAACTTTATGCAAGACTTCATTCCATGCAATCACTACGGAGTATTTGGTGGAGGTTCACTCAGTCACATTCATCAGTTTCCTGCGATGTGCTTACCTCATGAATGGTGTCAGGCCCCCCCTGCGCTGCTTCACGTCATAAATTGAGTAGCCGTGGCTGCGTCCGGAACGAGTGGAAGAAATACTGTGTATTACGTGGCGATTCGCAAGTTGTACTAAGGGCAGTTCATTGATTTGCAGCGTTGTGTTTGACGGTTAGTTAGTAGTTCGACTCAGGGTCATTCAGTCGAAGCACGCTTGTAGAGATTGCTTTATTGGCAGGTATATACGACAGGTAGGCTTACCATCCAGTCTAGGCGAAATCGATCTCGACGAGGATGAGGAGGAGTGGTCCTGTGAAGTTCAAGAGTCAAGACCGCGCGCCGCGGAATTCACGACTCGGATGTACGGACTCGATCACGTGTCATACATACGCCATCTGGTGGCGCAAGGCCAACGCAAGGCGGCGTAACTACAGCTCATCTCGAATGCTTACCGTCATCAACCGGCTTCGTTCTTCTCTTGTCTCCTTACTGTCATCATCATCAGTTACTCTGCAGAACAATCCGACGGCTAATATTACCACGATGTCCGGTATGTTCGACGTGTGAGCTTACCGGACATGCGACGTACTCACTTCAAGTGATGCAGGCAAAGCACCAGAAATCGCGACCTTCGCAGCCGGGTGTTTCTGGGGAGTCGAGCACATCTTCTTGAAACACTATCCTATCGCTCAGAACAAGGGCATCATCAAGACGTCTGTCGGATACACTGGCGGGAAGGACGACGCGAAGAACCCGGACTACCGCACCGTGTGTACGGGCGCGACCGACCACGCTGAGGCATTGCGGATAGAGTTCGACCCGAAGGTCGTGAGCTACGGCGACCTCGTCGGTGCGTAGCAACATTGGTCTCGGGAACGCCGATGTGCCGACTGAGGTACCGCCGCTGCAGAATTCTTCTATCGGACGCACGACCCGACGACCGTGAACAGGCAGGGTAATGATACAGGAACTCGTGCGTACCATCTCACTCGACCGTTGCGGTATCGTCTCATACCCTCCCGCAGAGTATCGCTCGGCCATCTTCTACCACTCTTCAGAGCAACTCGAGGTTGCCAAGCGTGTCACCGATGAAGTGCAGAAGAAGCACTTTGACCCTATCGGTGCGTCGGCACCGCCATGACCAGACATAGTTGATGACGAACCATGGATTCTACAGGTAAGAAGATTGCCACCCAGGTCGTGGCCGCGGGCCCGTGGTGGGACGCTGAGGAGTATCATCAAGAGTACCTGCACAAGAACCCGACGGGGTACCAGTGCCCAACGCACCGCCTGAACTGGTAGTGGTCGCAACGGCAGGTGGACAGATGAAGGAAGATGTAACAGGCGTTGTATGATTGCGTCGTGGCCCTTGGGCCTGTGTACTATCACGGAATGGAAATCAAAGCGTGCGAGCTTGCGTCGCAGCGGCATGCTCCGTGGATGTGCAAGAGGATGAGCCAAGTGACCTACAGTGGGCGGAACAGCTGGTACGTGGGACAGCAAGAGGCGGCGACGGGTCATGCTGATATGTATAGGGACCGCGATAAGACTAGGTTTGGTTTGACCGACTTTTTAGGCGGTGTGGGAGACGCGCAGGACGGGAGGATATCAAACCGCGTGAGATCCGGATGAATCGCTGCACACCTCGACAGCTCGCCCAGTGTGGACGGTGCAGATCGTCGAAGACGGAAGGTATTGACACCTGGCATACTCAATAATATCTTCCTATTGGCCCAGTGCGGCACCAATGCTCGCTTGTGTATATCAAAGCTACCCATCCACGTACGCCTCGACTGCGCTCTCTGACAATGACGATCAGGTATAAAGGTGCAACCGAGGTCTCCGTTGCAGCCCAGTCCTCGACTACTCCAACGACCATTAAACGCAATGTCTGTGAGTACATTGTTCGCTTCATGCGCCCGAAGTATGGCGGCGGCTCACCATCGCCATGCGGGCTCGACAGGATAAAGCTACCTGTGCGAACGTTCAGGCCAACGGCGGCTCCTGCACCTACCCCGCGTGCGGCTGTGCTGAGCCACCGAAGAGCAAGTAATCTGTCCTCGTGTTGACCGAGGTGGTCTGTTCCAGGTGGGCGTTCCGTGTCATGATGGGCGGTTCTGTGCGTGCTGATCGCTGTTGCAATCTTTCAGGGCTGCATAACACAGCATTGTACCACTCAACATGATGTTGGCCCGGTGGGCCTCGCGGTGTGCATAGCGTCCTGGTGGACAAATACATACATTTTCGTGAAGGGCCTTGCCCTTCCGCGTGTGCTCTCAGATGAGACCTCAGAAGGGGCAGAACCGCCTTGTGTTCGTCGTGTACGCAACGTTCAACCTCGTTCGCACTTAGATTGTTCGGAGGCATCTTGATACATCTCATTCGATGTGAAGGGGCAGTTCGGGACATGATAAAGAATCCTTGCTCACTGAGAGTTCTCTGTCGTTCCTTCCAGTGTTTCAGTGACTATGGATAGCCTCCCAGCCGAACTGATTTCTGTTCTCGAAGCTGAGTACGTTCTGTTCATGTACCTCTCGTATTGTGCGCTGCTAAAGTCGCTGTAGTGTGATACAAAACTACATCCAGATCGCAGCAGCTGGTCAGTCCGCTTGAACCGTGGTCTCTGAACCGCTGACTAAATTCAATCTTCATACTCAAGCATTGCTCATATACCAGCAACTCATCAGCCTTGGTGAGGAAGTGGCATATATGTGGTCCCTCCGGCATCCAAGCCTACTGTTCCTTCTGAATCGGCTGAACACACTTGTGATGTGCGCGTGTTTCATATTGAGGCCGTTCTCGCCGGAAAACATACTGGTACGTTGCGTTCGTTCGGATCCAAGCACAAACTGATTCTGGTATAGAGGTGAAGAGCATATATGATTCGGATGCGCCGTCTTTTTTGAACATCGTTACATCGCAGTTGCAGAGCTTATGAGTCGCTAGGCAACCTGTTCTCATTGGCATGTCTCTTACTATGGTCCTGTGCGTGAATGCGCTATTCGTCCTTCACTAATGAGTATTGATCCGCACGAAGCTCTCTCCTCCCTTCGAGTATACGCCGTCAGTAATCGCAACCTATGGGTCACTATCGTGAATGCAGTGTTAGGACTGGTTCCCTTCTGCGTGAATCTGGTATGTCAAGGAGTCGCATAGTCTGGTCGAATGGCATTCACATGACCCGTCTTTAGTATGGGATGACACAAGAGTCGCTCCAACTCTGGAATTTGGACAGCTTCAATCTTTGTTACGCTGTATCCACTAGCGTCACCGCGACTATCTTCAATAGGTGCGCCTCCGTTCATCTGGTCGAGATCGCCTGGGCTGATATGAACGACGAAGACGTGCGTAGTTCTTGTCGGCGTGTATTGCAGATGCCAATACGGCCCTTATGCAGGATCGGTCCTTGCCAGGAGTTGTGCCATCGCGTCGGATGCGATGACTGTGGCTGTCATTTGGTATTTCATCCCAGGCGGGTTCAAGCATTGTCGCACCGATTCAGCCAAAAACTCCCTACCCTCATATCTGTGGCGGAACGGTGCGTCGGTTTGTATACTTGAGCCTTCATATGAGCATGGCTAACCCACCTTCCGTCTAGGGACAATACATTTCATGTAAGAGCCGTCCTACGTCCGCGAACAACCATACATTGACATGGCTCCATTGACAGCGTTCTGCTCTTTCTCAACCTCGCAGATATGGTGCTCGATGTTATGAAGATATTGTTCCCCGAAGCTGGGTCGAGCATCGAGGTGTACAGCCCCCTTCCTCTCCTTATCTTCCCGTACGTCAGTACCCTAGCGACCTAGATGGTTCACTCTCATGTCTCTCCATAGTATCACATCCATCATCATCTCGCGCTTCACCCTACAGCTATGTAAATTATATGTCACAGCTCAAAATGCCGAACAATCACTGATAGTTCCGACCCATTCCGAGGAGCCGACGACGACGGTTCCTTCTATGGGTCCGTACACATCGATCAACTTGAACATGAATGCTTCGCCGCAGATCCGGACACGCCTGCGCAATTGGGCTCCGTATTGGGGTTCCCAGAGGACATCGAGGCCAAAGACCGTAAAACTCTGGTGACGTTGTTGTCGTGCGTTTCTCGGCGCATGAAGACACTGATCCTTGGGGCTGAAGAGTTGGGGACAATAGACATACACGATTGTTTCAGTAGTGGCCTAATGTTTTCTTTGCATTTTTTTCTTATTGCTGTGGATCATGTACGTCACACGTTGCACTGGCACTGGCATATGTCAGCCGGCCATAGCATCACGCTGGACAGTGATGCTGCGAATTTAAACTGCTTGCCAGGAAAACAGGAGTCAAGTAATCTGATACCGCCCTCAAGTTATGAGATGCAAATAAAAAGGATCCCTGTGCCCAGCCTACTCAGATTGATGGGCGGCGGGCCGTCACACAGTGCGAAAGTTGCTAGCGGTCATCATGTGACCGCGTTATGCGTATACGAGCCGTGCAGTCTCCTCTGCCGATGCACCGTGACGTTGCACAA